TGGGAAATTTCTCTGTTAGACTTGTGAAGAAAGAATGTTTATGACCTACCAGTATTGGTAGTTTACCAGTAATTATTCTAAAAGCATAGGACAGCATGAGGATATTTGGATGTTACTGGGCTCATTCCTGTGTCTCTTCTGTTTTCATTACATTTATGGGTTTGAGTAGTGGCTTCAGTGAAAGTAAGAAAGGAAAACCAGATTCAATTCTGGATGAAGATTAAGTGCATTTGAATTAGTCAAATAAATTGAGTACTTACTCTGTAGGTATGTTTTAAATCATCCTTAAAAGTCTCCAATGGTAGATCTGTCTTTCCAGTAAGCTGTTCATATGACTGCTCATCTTTTTTTAGGAATGTCATGTTGTTTACCTGTACCCAGTTTTTAAATTCTCATATTGAAAATACTTTCAATCTGTACAGTTATTATTCCTACTTGTGTTTTAGCTTTTAATTTTTCTGTCTTTGATGTTACAGTTGCCTTTAATGAGGTGTGTTTATGTTGCCCTCTAATGGATAGCAGCAGTTTATGAACAAGATGGGTGATTTTAGATGTAGTCTGATGGATCTCTGTGCTAAAAAGTACTGTAGTGACAGGATTGTGCACTCATATTCAAGGTTACAACCACCCTGTTTTTACAACTTAAGCCTTTGCTGAAACAAGAAAATTTTGTGTTCAGATTATTAGGAATAACTCCCATTAATAGCTAAAATTTGTTTGAGAACAAGTTCAGTTCTTTTTATAAAGTCTGACGTGGGAACTTGTGAGCAAAAAATGCATTATGTCATTGGCTGAACACATAGTTTCATCTTGGCCTCCTAAAAGTGTAATTAATTGAGGGTAGGGAGAAAACAAATAATTAGAATATTACTTTTTATTCCTGTGAAATTAAGGTAGGCGTGTATAACATTGAAAATACAGGATTTTTCAGTGGCATTATGGTTTTCATTTCATGACAAAATCAAATTATACCACTTATTAAATTCTTCACTCCAATGCCAATTTGAATGTTTCTAAGTTCAGTTCTATTTGTGCCAGGTAATTAAAGAAAAAATTCAATTCCTTGCCTGGAAATGCTAATGGGGTGGACATTAACCCATTGTACAGTTGCTTCTGTGTTTGCCTGGTGCCCAGTATGTTTTAGTCTTTCAGCAATAACTATACAGTACAACATGGTCTCTTATGACACAGAGGCTGACAGCAAAATAGTTATATTTTCTGGATTTGCTTAATGAAACAGCTTGCAAAAGGTTTTTGTACCTTGACCAGGACTTCAGACTGGGGTTTGAGTGTGCATTGAACAGTCCTCAGTTAGAGGCCACCAAAAGGCATCATCGTATTATATTTGCTGAGAAATGTCCTGACAAAGGCAGGAATGATGAATCTGACTCCATGTTCTCAGAAGACTAATTTATTATATTAAAGAATATTATACTAAAGAATACAGAAAGGATACTTACTCAATGCTAAAAGGATAATAAGGAAAACTCATGACTCTTTCCAGAGTCTTGACACAGCTTGGCCCTGATTGGCCAGAGAGCCAAAACAACTCACACCAGAATCCAATGAAGCAATCACCTGTGGGTAAACAATCTCCAAACACATTCCAAAGGAGCAAAACACAAGAGAAGCAAATGAGATACGAATTGTTTTCCTTTTCTCTGAGGCTTCTCAGCTTCCCAGGAGAAAAATCCTGAGCAAAGGGATTTTTGCAGAGAATGTGTATGCTGCATCATCCTGCTTCCATTCTTGTTGCACCTTGCTTTATGATAAATTCACAGAGAAATGCTGAGTTGGCAAAGAAATTCTTGTCGCTCCTCTTGTAGGATGAGCTTTCTGTGTATTAGTCTGAACTGAGCAGGAGACAGGTTAAAGAGAGTTATGGTAAAGGGAGATTCTGAGGAGGTTGAATCATGTCATGAATTCTGATGGCATCAAGTGTCACTGTAATATGAAACTGCATCTTGAGTTAACTAGAGACTAGACCTTTACACTTTCAAAGAAAAATAAAAATTTTCTTTCAGAATGAAAATCATTTTCATAAAAAAGCTTACTGAGGCACACATAATACTTATTTTTTTCAGAGTATGATACTTAGAGAATTAGTGTTAGAATAAACTAGGGTTGTTTAACAACTATTAATAGGCTGCCAGTATACACAACATATACAGAACTCATGTTTTGTGGGCGGTGGAGTAGATACTCCATCAGATAGATAGTGACTTCCACTGAGGGAAACAGTGATCATGAGGAATAGCTTTCAGGCTTTTTTGGATGCAGTCATAGAAGTGTATAGAAGTACAAAGCTGCTTCCACAGTGTATCCTGGAAGAGCTCACACAGCTGCATGGTAATAAAAATCTCACTTTCGTTGGTAAAGTATATTCAGAAATCGTTTTCCACCTTACATTGAAGCTGGTCTGGGTGTACTGAATAATCTGTTTCTGTAAAGGTTCCTAGCCTGTTTATTCTGGAAATCCAGTATGAAGGTGTTTTAGAGCTGTGATGTCTTTCACCTCCTCCATATTCCAGCATGAAATATGCATACCTCCATAACCATATTCTGTTAAAGTGTTGGGAAAAGAGTAGATGTCAGTAGAGTTAAGGTTCCACATGCTTTGTAAGTTAAATTAATTTGATGTGCTCAGGAAACAGGAAAACTAGACTGTATTTGGAATAACCCTTACAGTAATTTGAAGATGCCTGGGAAATAAAGATATTTTAAAGAAAAGAATCATTCAGCATAACTGCAGAACAGAAGAAAGGCATTGCATCATTTTAATAGTAAGATCAAAGATGCATATATACATGCTAGACACAGCTCTTAACCAATTCATGCAAAACAAAGTGTCCTAACCACTGGCCCTCATTTCCCCTGTTTGCTCTTGCACATACAAAAATGATGTGTGAAATAACGAGGCAGCATCAGGCCCTGCTGTTTAGGTGCTATGTGAGTTACTGTGCTGGTGTCCAGCTTTCACTGTAGAGAGGTGTGAGTTTCCCTGAAATCCTGACCTATGTCTGCCAGCCCTATGCCTTAAAGGTGTCTCAGGTGCTTGTGTATGGGCCAGTGAGTTTTGCCTAATGTGATTACATGAAAAAACTTCTGATCAAAAAACCTGGAAATGTTTAACTGAAGATAGTTTGGTTTTTTGGGTTTTTTTAAAGAAAACAAAACCATGGCCGGATTAAGTTTCTGCTTAGTAATTTGCTTCATATTCTCTTAAACTTGTTCCCAGTCTGAAGGGAAAAAGAGCTTTAAATTTTGTGTATGCAGTGGAAACAGAAAAAAGCATCCTTTGAGTTATGTCCAGGAAAATAGAAGGGAAATCGGTTAATTTAAAAATACTATTTTTTTCACAAGTAGGTTTTTTATTCCTTTATTCTCTAAAAATCTGTTCTTATACATGTGCAGTTCAATAAAGACATTAATTCATTTTAAAACAAATAGTGACTGTTGCATTATTAGATTGTTCAGGCTTCAATATTGGTGGTCTTGCTGTATAGTGAGAATTCTGACTAGAGGCGGCTCCTTATATAACTTCTATTTATTTACTTACTGTGTAAGTTAATAAATTATAGTCTTAAAGTAGCAATAAATAGAGAGGCTATGGAAGCCTTTTAATTTAATTTTTCAGGCAAATTTTAATTTTGGTGTTCTCACAGCCCAGTTAGTTCCCCAGAGAGTCCCAGCTCCAAAAGAGTTGCAATGAATTAAAATGTTGGTTGAGTTTCATTATAAGAGTATGAAAATGAAACTGAGTTTCCATAGTATTGCAGCAGATTGTCTAAAACCTCTGCTCCTATTGAATTATTTATTTTTTTAAGTGGAGTTAATGAAATTGTGGATATGATTAGCTCATCATAAAGGTGAAGGGTAAAATCTTTTTGATGAGCTAAAAGGAGAGGAAAATGCTGAAAGGAGAATGTTGCTTCTTCAGCCTTTTTTTCATGAATAATCATTACTCAGTGATATCTTTACAGTTTGGTCTTAAAATGCCCATTTATAACTCTTACAGAGATCTCTGGAACTTTAGGAGTAAGATTTGTGGGATTAGAATTGTATTTTCACTCTTCTCAAGATATTTTTGTTCATCACATTACCTAGGATATTAACAATAAAAACTTGCTGATTTTTTTTTTATTTTTATTTTTAATACTTCAGATTTATTCTAGTCGAGAACTTGAAGAAACGTTGAACAAAATCAGGGAAATTCTCTCAGATGACAAACATGATTGGGATCAGCGAACTAATGCGGTAAGCTTTTTATCTGATTTCAGGCTTGGGTGGGTGTATTTCATAAAGCACAGACAGTATTTTAAAAAGTTCTTTTTCCTAAAGTCATTGCACTCCATGTAATGAAAGAAATTTTCATTTTAATTTTTACGTCTTCAATTTTCTGTACCAAGTAAGTTTGAGTGTTTTTCTAAAGTCCAAAATGCATTTTTGCTGACATTTAAGTGGAAGCTTTTCTAGAAGCCATCACAGATGTTGAAGTTTGGCATTTATGTAAAGCTGCATATTCTACAGGTTAACTGCTAGCATTAACATGTCTTGTGTGCATCTGTGAAAAGTTCCACTTACAGGGCTAAAATTTCTGTGTGTATGTACCATTTTTATTTTTTAATCATGTTTATGGCATCTTAATGCTTATAAGCAGGTATGTGAATGGAATGTATTTATATTCTGGATTCTGATTTTTTTTTTTCACCTCTAGAGCTTAATATAATTTTTTCACAATTCTTTTTAATTACTGCCATATATTTTGAAAATTTTGCTTTAAAGACATGCCAACATGAATTTTGCATAGTGAAGCTGTTCCTTTTTCTTTTGTTTTGAAATGCACATTGGCAGTGTCCTAACCCTACTGTGTTGATTTTGTAGCTGAAGAAGGTTCGTTCCTTGCTCGTTGCTGGAGCTGCACAGTACGATGGGTTTTTCCAGCATTTGCGGCTCTTGGATGGTGCTTTCAAGCTATCAGCCAAGGATCTCAGATCCCAGGTGGTGAGAGAAGCCTGCATCACTGTAGCGTAAGTACAGTTCCTGTGCCTTTGGGCACCTTGCTGGGTGCTGCTGTGGGGTTGGCTTAGTGGTGCTTTATTACAGTGACTTGATGAGGTTTCCTCAGGGTGAGAGAGATGGACAGGAATCTTGGTTCATGATCAGAAGGCTGGATTTATGGATATATGATATATAATACATTATGACTATACTAAAAGGAATAGAGAGCGAAGTTGCAGAAGCTGCTAAGCTAAGAATAGCATAGGAAAGAATGAATAACAAAGTTCTGTGTCGAGCAGAAAGGAAGGACAAACTCTCCCGTGAGTGGTCAGCAAATCCAAACACTCACAGAAAACCAATCACACATGCACCTGTTACATTCCACATCAGCAGATAATTATTGTTTACATTTTTCTTCTGGGGCCCCAGCTTCCCAGAAAGGACAAATCCTAAAAGAAAGGATTTTTATGAAAAAATGTCTGTGACAGTGCTTTATCAGTGTCCCAGGTGAGGTTCTCTTGTTGGGCTGCTGTGCTCTGTGACTGATAGAGTCAAGTCAGGATCTGAAGCCACAGAGGAAAAGAAGTGCTTAAAGGAGTTGGTTCTCTGAGGGGATACATGTAGCTGATAATCCTGTAACCAATTGTATGTGAATAACCAGTTACCACCATTGCCAAGCCATCATTAGTGCAGGTTAATGCAAACTGCTGTGAATGATACTGGGGACTTATCTCAGGATCACTTATGCTTGGGTGATTGGCACAGCACTTCACTGGCACTGCTTGTAAAGACAATGTGAATAGCGCTGTAGTGGTTTGAACATAGAGCATTTTGCTGAGGTAATATCTCCCAAGGAATCATGGAATGGGTTTGGCTTGGAACGGACCTAAGGATCATCTAGTTCCAACCCTGTTGGTAGTGCAGGGACACCTTGTACAGGACCAGGTTGTTCAAAGCCCCACCCATCCTAGCCTTGAACACTTCCAGGGCTGTCTCTCTGGGCAAGAGACAGATGATTGTGATAATTTTAGAAGCTGTGGCTAAACTGAAATAAAATCTTCACTGTTAGCATCTCATGGACTCCTTTAAATTCAAGGGCAGAGGGGAAAATCAGAGTAGTCTTTCCCGTTCCCGTGTTTTTCGTGACTTTTTTTTATCCTCTGGAAAGACATTAGTGTAACCACTGATTTTCAGTCTCCATCTGAAACAGGATCACCATAGAGTTCACCCTTGCTATTCTGGTCTCCTGTTTGAACTGACTGAGAGGAAATGCTGAAGCATACAACTGCCCTTTCCAAGGAAATTGAGACTTTGAGAAAATTGTAATAACTTTTCCTAACATGAAGTCAGGAGCAGTCTAAAAGTACTCTGCAAATATTCTCCTGCAGGCCTAACAACCTGGAATTTTCTTTGATCCCTAAAACATTGATACATTTGTTGTGTCATTTGCTGCTGGCTACAAATCCTTTTTTATATAGTCTTACTGCATGAAAGAAGCATTTGTTGTCAACAATGGACAGTTAAATTTCTATGTGTGGCATGTGTTTTAATATTCGTTAAAACTGAAAACCTAACCTTTAAGAGGCAAGGGAGTCAAATTTTATGGTTGGCTGATTGTGGTGAGTTCAGTAGTTTTGCGTACATTCAAAAGGAAAAAAAAACCTCAATAATTTATTTAAAATTTTACATTTATACATCTCAAAGTCTGTTAAAAAGCAGAAATAGTGATACTTTTTGTAGACATGAAAATTTAGGCTTTCCAGTTGTAGTACTTGTATTTTCATTATGAAGCAAAGTTATTCATGTTTTTTAAGACTAAGAAATTAATTTATGTTTCCTCTAAACAGCCACCTTTCAACTGTTCTGGGAAACAAGTTTGACCATGGCGCTGAAGCAATTGTGCCTACTCTTTTTAACCTGGTTCCCAACAGCGCCAAAGTGATGGCAACCTCTGGGTGTGCCGCCATCAGGTTCATCATTCGGGTAGGTGTTCCAGTCTCACCTCACCTGCTAGGAATTTTCAGGTCGTGGCTGTTGGCAGAGATAACAGCTGCCCTGAAATACATGTTTTTAAATCATTCTTTAACAGAGGAGTAATGTTTCTCATGGGTGGACAAATACTACGTATCGTTGAAACCAATTGGCAGCACTGTCATCATAAAGATGGAAGAATAGGTGTGAACAGCTACTGTTTTCATGTTTCTGGGATTTTTTTTTTTTTTTTTTTGTAATGTGTTAATTGAAAAAAGACCAAGTGTGTTTCAAAGAGTAACTGCTTTTAACTGCCTTTTTGGAAAATACAAACTAGCTAAGAAACTAGTGAGAATTTAAATAGTGCAAACAACAAAGCACTATTTAACAACAAATTTCTTTCTACATATACACTCCCCCCCAAAACAATTTGAAACCATGGAGTTAATGATAAAATGTTGAAGAGGCTACACATACCTGGATCAGTTCAGAAAGCACAAGTGCATGAAAGAAAAGTCCAGTAGAGACTTGAATTTTTAAATTCAAGAACTTTCTAAGCTGAGGCCCCAAAGCTATAGCATATGGGACAGAGGAGTGCTCTATTCTAGCTGTTTTCTAGTGAATGTTCTTTGAGCACCTACTGACTGGTGTCTCAGGCAAGATATTTAGAGTTTGGGACTTGTACTGCCACTTTTGTGTTTCACATAAAGTGGGAGATTGCCTGTAGTTTCTGCATTAGAAGTTGTGGTGTTCTTAATGCCAGCCACTTACTGCAATTTAGTATGATCTCATTGGTGGTTTTAATTTTGTAAATTGTTGCAAAACCTAAGAGGTTTCATGACTTTCGCCTTTTGTTGCCATCTTCAGAATGGTTCAGAAGGTATATTGCTTTGTGTCTCTGTGCCTCTGAGAATGTGCTCTGAGACCTCTGCATGCATGACCTTTGCATAAGCACTTGGGCTAGGACAAAATCCCTTGGTATTTTTTCCCCAGACTCTTACCCTCCACTGTGAGATGGCACAGACTTGAGAGGGAAGGAATACACCTTACATAGGATAATTAAAGTTGTAAGAGAATACCATTAGCAGTAGTGTAAAACAAGATCAGGCATGTAAGAAATTATAAACATTCACCAATTGCATTAAATTTGCTTTATTGGTCTAGGTCATTTGAAGACAAGCTTACACAGCAGCTATAGTTGCCCTGATTTTGTTAAAATTTCTGTTCTTAGCTGTGACTTAACATAGTGGATTTGAAACATAAGAAAAAGAAAATCCTATCCACAGTGTTCAAATACCCAACCAATAAATGGCATATGTGAGGTTTTTTAGCAGAAAATTCAGATTTGAGAATTAAATATCAAAAAGAAGTGCAGCCCCCATGCCTGTTTGGGCTTCTTTGGACTAAATGAGTATTGGTCAGGGGGTCTTTGATCAATTGAATATTTATAACCCAAGCTACTGCAGTTTTTGGAGTCAGTGTTTTACTCAAAAATTCCCAGCAGCATCCAGTGACAGCCATTTGAGATCCTGGTGCTTTCCTTTGTAATTGCTGTAGAGTGAGTCTGCATAGAAACAGGGAGGCTGTATTATACCAGTGATCTTGAGGAGCTTCATCTCATCTTTGTGCCTTCATTGGATTTCATATTTCTTCTCCGGGAAGTTCTCACAGTGCAGTCTGATTTCTCTTTCTCGACTCTTTGTACACCAGGAAGCCAATTAAAATAAAAGGGGGGGGGGGCAGGGAGGGAGTCATGGAGAGATGGCATGATGGCAGAAATCTGTCTCAGAAGGAGGTGGGATTCAGGTTTGTCAACTGATCTTCAGGGTGGTTTTCAAGGAAGCATGTATCATTACATCCTCAAAGGAGCCGAAGATGAAGTATGACATGTTAAAAACAGAATTAAAGCAAGCCTGAGGCTTTGATTCCTTTGCAAAATGCTTTCTAGAAATTACAACATCAATAGCTCCAAATAACTTGAATTTACAGGTTTCTCCATCTGTAAAAACTATTTTTACCCCTGATTTGCTCATTGTCCCTTTCTGGAAGTCATATGCCTCTCTTCAATCTATACAAAACACAAACAAACCCCCTAAAACTGTGTTTCAAGTATATCAGGACAAACAAATATAACTGCTAGGCTCTTCCAGAATTTTTGATTAATTTCTTCCTAATCCTAAAATTGGCAGTACTCTGTGGGCTGATGATTATCTCTGATTTTTTTGTGATTTGTGTGTTTATATACTGCAGCTGTGATACATGAGAGAGTTTAAATTCTTCATTTCTGTACTTCTGAAGATCTTGGATTTTTTTTAATTAGCCTACTCTTTCACACTGTATTGGGTACTGTTTACTGTAGGTATTTAATCAAGAAAGGACTAAAGAAATTAACTGAGAATAGATTTGTTGAACTACATTACTCCTACTTGAAATTAAAATGGCAATGCTTTGTGTCTACAACTAGTTAAGAAAAGCTGAAGTAAGACAGCTTTAATTCTGAATTCTGTAATGCATTTGGATTGAATATAGTTTATCTTATGCATAGTTTAATAGTTTTCTTCTCCCATCAGGTGTTGCCATATTGATTATCTATATAGGCTTGCTTATATGTCAGTGCTTTTATTACTTCATTGACATATTTTGCATTAAAGGACATTTGATCCTTGTGGTACTCATCATACTGATCCTTGTAAGAATGCCTATATTTTCATATCCATTGATTCACTTTTTGCTCTATAACACTGACTTTTAAGACAGCTATGTCTATTACTTTTTTTTTTCCTGTGGCAAAACTAAAATAGCATCAGCTTTCAACTCCTCTGAGGAGACAGCTACATTTGAACTTCTTATATTACTTTTGACAGCAAAGTATTGCATATCATGATGTAATTGTTGATGGCACTGGAAGTGGTTTTTGCTTGACCTTTTGGAAGAAAATAGCTTTCTTTCAATTGACATGCTAACTGCAGTCGTTCATTATAATAGTATTCCATGATTTAGTTTTGGTAAGCAGTTTAAATGATTGCAGTTTTTATTATGGTGTTAATTCTGTTTGAATTAATAAGTACAGTACAAATTCAGGATTCAGGAATGCTTTTCTCATAAACTGTTTTGCCCTTTTTTTGGCAGCATACTCATGTGCCACGACTCATACCTTTAATAACAAGCAACTGTACCTCAAAATCAGTTGCAGTTAGAAGGTGAGTACATTATAAATGAAAATTACCAAAGCTGTTACTTTTTAAAATATGATTATCATATGTTGAAAATTAACAAATTAGAAGACTTGTGGCCATAAATGCTGAGCACACAAAACTGTTAGCAAGTAAACTGCAAACTGCAAAATTTAATTTCAGCCTTGAGACAGTGGCAGCTACCTTAGGACACAGAGCATCCCTGCGTTGTGGTGTTCAGCATCTCAGCTACATCTCCAGCATGTTGCTTTCTCTGAGAACATGATGCTTGAACACGTGGGTTGGCTCTTAAAAAATGATTTTTTTTTTTTGACAGTGTCATTTTCTGCACCAAATCACACAAAAGCAGTTAATGCTGTTTCAGGACTGACAGTAGTCCTGAAAGCGATGTCACTGTGTGTATGCAGGAAACAACTTGAGCATCTGAATTACTTTCTTTGAGTCTAAGCTGCTTTTGCATCCAGAGCAAGTGTCACCTCAACCCAGATTGTACTGACCTGCCACAGCTTCTGGTTTGGCTGCTAAACAGTTCACAGGGCTTCAGTGCCTCCACATGCTGTGCCTTTACTGAGGAACATGAGACTGTAGGTGGCTTTGGTACTGCAGTTCACAATCTGTTGGGAATTTAGCTGACTAGAGAGACTGGAAAAGTACAAAACCGTGGCTAATTCCAAGTCCTGCACCTGTGTTGATAGCTGTGTCCTTGGGCCTAGCTGTAGTAGGATAACAAACAGTGAAAGAGACATGAGAAAAGAGAGATGTAACCCCTAAGGAATGAGGAAGAGTTCATGGTATAGTTTAACCACAGATTGCTTGGCTGACAGAATATTCATAAGCTTATTATTTGCTGTATAAGTGTTTGATGCTTTCTTCAATAAACTGGACCGGACCTGTGTTGAACCATCTGGTGTCCTGGTCCCCTTCCTTCCACAACAATCCAGTGAGCATCACTGAAGGTGTTGTCTCCATACTGCTTTCATTCTTTTGGAAAGACAGCGAAACACTTTCAGTTGTAATAGTGACAAGCATTGCAGGGTTTCTTGCCATGCCTTGCTGATGCCCAAAGGATTTGGGCAGAATAAAACTAAATTTGTCCCTCCAGAACAAGTAAAAAATGCTGAATAACCAGAAAAAGAGAGTGTTTTGGGCTGTCAGGTACACTTCATGTTTGAAAATTACCCACACCTCCTTAATCTGTGTCAGTTTGATTTTTCCTCAGGATCTAGCTTCAGACATAGTTTTTGAAAGTATGCCTTTTGCTAATGGCAGTTGGCTAATTATCAAGATTCCCAAATTAATAATGAATACATTTAGAGATCTTCATTACTACTGTGTCAGAAAATCTTTTGCAGTGCTTTCTATTATGCAGAGCACTCTGCTCATAGTCTCATGTTTTCCTTTATGCTACATACTCAGTAGTGACTGACAGATGGAAGGATGGGAATAGGGTTTGGGGCAAAAATATACTGCCATAGAAATCCTGTATTGTGTCTTTAGTACTTTTATGTTATTAATATTTTATAATTATTATCAATATATTTAAATTAAAATTAGCTATTATATCATGTACAATATATAATTATATATTAATATGTCTTATTTTGTATTAGTATAAAAATAGACTAGTTATAGCAATTATTAATATTTAAATTAAAGTTTTATATTAATAATTACTAATATTTTATGGGGTTTTAATGTTGTTATTTTTTATGATAGGATTTTATACTCTGTACAATTTTTTCAACTTCATTAATTTATGTCTGTTATTTTGGGACTAATACAGTTAACATGGGGTATGTGTAATAACATGACTTGAACAGCACATTGTTAATTGAACCATGTCTGTTATTTTGAAGTTTAAAATTAGTTAGCCTGCATGTTTGCTTAATATAGAGAATATTTTAACTTTCCAATAAGGTGACCAATGCCCTTATTTGACAGATAAAGGTATTTTATTTTATTTATTTCCTTCAGGGGGAAAGAGTAAAGTTAGTGTTTCTTCCACAAGCACATTAGAGAAATGAGTGTTTAATTATGACTTTGGCTCTGTGTTTTTAGGCGCTCCTTTGAATTTTTAGACCTGTTATTACAAGAGTGGCAAACACATTCACTGGAAAGGTATGGGCCAGTATACTTTTTCCCCTAAAATAAACTGCTAATGTAATTTAAGACAGAAATATTGTCGTTGAATCCTTTAATTGGATTATGTTGTTCAGTGTTGGCCAGCCTTTCTGGCATAGACAGCCTTTCTAGCACAGCAGGTCATGTGGCTCATTCAGGTGCCAGGGGGAAGGAGAGCTGTATGTTCCAGCCTTGGCTTCCTGTGGCCTCCTCTCCTTCCCCTCTGTCTCTGCTATCCTGCCTGTGAGCAATGCATATACAGGTAAGCAGCTGTCTTTTCTCCTGGCAGGGGGAAATCTGTGTGTTTGCTGTGAAAGAGGGTAAGTGGGCTTAGGCTGGAGGACTTCTTGTGCTAATGAGTAAGGGCACGTTGTGGCTTCTCCAGATAGATGGGAAAACTGGACATGCATCAGTTCTGCAGGTTGGTCACTGTAAACGCAGGGTAGGAGCAAAGAGAATAAAGGGCATCCAGAACTGACTCTGAAGAATTCATCCAGCTCATTCCAGTCACATTGCTGCTTCCCCAGGGTGCTCCTGAGAAGGAGAGTAATGGGGAAATCATTTATGCCAAAGTGTATAAAAAAAACCCATAAAACCCACCACCTCTCCCCCAACCCCCAAATAACAAACTTCACACCCAAAACTTACCTTGAAGTAAAACTTTTGTCTTCACAAGTTTGTGTTCTGATGGGTACTTTGCTGTTCATTGAACTTGTATTTAGGTTTATAACTCATATGCCAAAAGCTTTCCAAGCTGTAAGAAAACTTATGGTCTTAATTTTTCCCCGTTTCCTACTATTAATATAACAGTGGGAATAGTTTTTCCATTTCAGGAAGGCAAATGTCTTATAAAAGGTATTTTTAAATAACTTTTTAAGTGTGATAGGTGGGTGTATGTCAGAAGTAGATTAAAATCCTTTTAGATTGAAGGAGTAAGCTGACCTAAACCTTTACAGAAGGTACAGTTATGTCATCAGTGTGCTTAAGTGTTTGTTTACTGCATATTTTGGAAAGAACTAGCACTGCAGCTGTTTTTTACTTGGTGAAATGTTAATTAAAGTGTAAAGCTACTGCTTAGAATTTGGAGTAGCAAAATAGCATGAAGAATGTCTTTCTTCTAGGCATGCAGCTGTCTTGGTTGAAACAATCAAGAAAGGTATTCATGATGCTGATGCAGAAGCAAGAGTGGAGGCAAGAAAGTGAGTTTTGATTCATTTTGCTCTGAAAAATTGCATGTGCTAAATGAGTGATAGAAGGCTCTAATCCAAGGTGAGCTGCTATCCATGGCTGAAGAAGATACAAACAAGTTTGTTTGAAAACTGATATTTTTGTCCTGAATTGCTACCCAGTTTCTTTAGTAAAAGACATTCTCAAAGCCAAGTCAGTCAATGCAGTTGTGCAGCATTTGATGATTCCACTGAAAGAAAACTTAGAAAGGTTGATATTGCTGCATAATCATTCTTCTCCCATTAATTAAATCTTTAAACAACTGCAACACTTTGAGAAGGCTAGAAAACAATTCCTTTTGCTTTCCCACACAACTGGTGAGTGAATGTGAGACATTCAGAGGATAGACTTAAGTTATTTTGAAAAGATTAATTCAGTCCGTGCAGCTGACTTGATGATCATTGCTCATACTCTCAGTTCCTTTCACTCCCATCCATGGTTCATTTTGTAATCTTTACTTCCTGACTCCATCCTTTTAAGAAAACACTGAGCATTTACATGTGGTTTTTATTTTTTTGCAGGGCTTATCTGGGTCTTAGAAATCACTTTCCTAGTGAAGCTGAGACTCTGTACAATTCTCTGGAGCCACCCTATCAAAGAAGCCTTCAGACCTACTTGAAGAATTCTGGCAGTATAGCATCTCTCCCTCAGTCAGACAGGTCATCCTCCAGCTCACAGGAGAGCCTCAAGTAAGGGTCACTTCACTGTTTCTCAGCCAAGAAATAAATGCAGTTTCTCAAAAGCAAATTATCCAGATTCCTGTTGAGTACAGAAAAACTGCAGTTTTGTTTTGTGACTTCCAATTTTTTTGCTATGTGACAGCATTACCCCAGCAAGCTGGAAAGTACAGTCTTTAACTGGATATTAGGATGCTGTATTCATGCCTTCTTTCCCTGACAGCTGCTGTAAACACCAAAATATCTTCAAGGTTCATACTGAACTCCAGCATTCTGATGTGCTGAATAGGTCTAAGAAAGCTATAATGGTGTAATTCCTTTATTGTCTCTTTTCCCTGGCAAGCATGAAAACGGAACATGAACAATGAGATTTGTTGGAGATCGGTTTGAGTTTTTTTTTCCCTATCTTCACAGTACTGAATATGTATTAGCAGTATTTCTGTGCTGCAGTGATCTATTAAAATGCATAGGCAATCTTGAGCTGAAGAAATTAAAGTTTTCTTAGGTACCAATAGTAAAAGAAATCTACAGGCTTTTTAGCAGAAATGTGAAGTAGTAGTAGAAGTAGTACATGGTGATTTTTGCCTTTAAATGCTAGAAAGCTTCCTCAAAGTATTTCAGCCTTTTAATATTTCAGATCTTCATTATCAAAACCAGAGAGCTTGTCTCCTCACTTGTTACTTGAAGGCAAAGACTGCTTCTCACATATTGGAATTCGCCTTTTTTTTTTTTTGGCTAATGCCTTAAATATCAGAGATTTACCTTATTATTCCTGTGATTCTTGTAATTATAAAAAAATTATGAAAAAATAATTGTCTGTGATGCAAGCAATTGCCAGCACTTCATTTTCCACAGATGTTTATTTGAAGATTAAATATTCTTGTTTAAATTAATCTCTGTTTCTCATCTGAAAATAAAAGTGCTGTTAATGAGTTACTGGTAATATACTATTAAAAACTAAATTACAGGGAAATTAGAATCTTAAAATACTCCTAAATCTTCAAGTGTTGTTTCCCATGTTGCAAGATGTGTAAGTGCTACAGTACAGGAAGTGAGGGGTAAAAGAAGAAATGAACAGTAGAGGTGATTGTATTGGAATTTAATGAAATTTTAATTGATTTATGACAAACTTTGCATTCAGATGGATGTTTGTTACCCAAAATTTTGTTTCTGGCTTTTAGTATAGTAAATGCTGAATTCCCCCTGTATAGGCTATGATTTCCTAGAAGTCAGATCCTTTGTGATTTTTGACCTTCTGAACTTACATCTCATAGAGATCATTAATCCAGAATTGTTTCAGAGAAGATGGAGCAATGAGAGAGAAATGTGGTGACTTCTGCCTACTTGTATGAAACTGTTTATATAAAATGTGAATTGCAATAGATTGTGGCAGTTGTCTGGGACTTTTGTTTGGAGCAAGTTGTAAGATCAGGAGCTCTACTTCAGCCTCCTTACCTTACTTGAGGCAGAGTACCTTCAAAACATTAGTTAGTCATGTCAGAAAAGCAGGTTTATTCAGAACAAGCTGCAAACACATATTCTTCTGAGAGGATTTAGGTTATGGTGCTGACCTTTATATTACTGCTGAGCTAATAACTGGGATAAATCCACAGAATGAGGCATCTCTTTTCTTTCTACTTTTAGGTTTAAAATTAAAGGAATTATTTTTACTAAAGCTGAGACACTGACTCAGCTTGAAATTTGACTGTTGATGAAATACTCAACTATTTCATCAAATACAAACTTCCCCCATCAGATATTTAACCAATGAATATTAACCAATGAATATGCAATTATGTTTTCTTGTACCAGTCCTTTTCATTTCCCTGATCTCTCCAGCTGCCTTTTACCCTTCCAAATAGGCCAAAGGATGGGCTCACGATTAAACTTGACTAGACTGGAAGATTGTGCTTCAGTAACTACTTGTTTTTGCAGTGGGAACGAAATGAAGACAAAACATAGAGGAAAATACATGGGATTTTTCTCCTTTTTTAAGTTATGGGAGCCTCTACATTCCAACAGGGAAAATGGAGTCTAGCTGCTTGGAAGCATCAGCATTTCCTTTTTTAGTTTATAACTTAATTCTTGAGACATCTGGGACTGTGGAGGAGTCTTATGAGTTGGACACCTGTTTTTCTTGTTACTGCAGACACCACTTCACATAGTCTTTCATAAATAAAGGTTTTTGGGTAGCTCCCACTGTTATTGTTTGATGGCTGATGTGTAAGATCAGCCCTGTGGTTAAAACCTTGTACTGACCACCTTAAATGTTTCTGTGACCTAGTCTGGAATGCCTGAACTTTGTTAGCAAATGTGGCTGTCAGTAGCTGAAGGATTAGTGCTTTGTGGTAAGGATGTAGTTTTATAAAATGTAAGGGAAAAGATAATCCTGGTTTTCTTAGCATTTTCTGTTTAAATTATTTATCTAAAAATATGATGAGAAGGTTGAGGGGGAGAAAAGAAAAGAAAAGAAATTTTTTTTCCTCTCTTTTATTTTTTACTTTTGCATCTAATACATGAGACTTACTGGATTTATTGACTTTTTTCAGTCGGCCTCTGTCATCTAAATGGTCTGCAGCCAGCCCAGCAAGTCTTGCAGGCAGAGGTATGGTGGTGGTAATATTGTGTAGTGCATAGTTCTTCATGTTGTTTGTATTAAAAGTTCTAAATGCAGCTTAAAAATTGACTATCAGCATTTACCCTGTTTCCAAGATAAATAATGGTATGGTGTCACTACAAACTGTACCTGGAGCTCAGATTGCCTCACACTTGCTTCACATTTTATGTAGTTTCAGTTGTTTCAATTATAAGACACAACTCTTTATGAATTTTGAATTAATTGATCCTCTGTCCTGGAGTTTTGTCATGGAACAGTCATTCTCAAAGAAACAAAATATTATTCTTTGGTCTGTTCATGGTTAGGCTTATGGCAATTAGAAGTTAAAGACTCACTGTCTCTTTGATCTGTTCCCATGTAGCTCTTGCTCTTTGTAAATAAATAAATAAAGAACAGCAGCCAAATGGCATATTTGTAATTCAAAGAGTTTAATTATGTGTTTAGTTTTTGGGATTTAATAACTTCAATGTCTTTTCCCATAATGTCTTAGTAACTCTTTGAGAGTAAATCATTGAGGAGCTTTTTACAAATGGACTGTAATGAAGGATGGATACTGAAACTGATAAGGGGGAGTCAAGTTTAGAAGACCTAAAACAGTGGTTAAAATTAAGCAAATAGTTAAAATTCAGTAAATAATAGGAAGTGAATATGAAAATACTAAAGATTAGACTCTAAAACATTTCAGAATACGCATTCAGCTTACCTTAGCTGAAATGTGGGAATATTGTTTGTCCTTCAGTATCTCAAGGAAGGATGTGAATTTTCTTACAGTTGTGAATCATTCAGTAACATAATAAATCACATGAAGGTTCAGAATTATGTCATTTGTGCTGGGGTGGGAAGAGACAGTTTGCATTAAATAATGCTAAAATTTCATGCTGAATGAAGATAAATACTACTGACACACAAACTCTTTCTAGATGCAATTCATAGCAAGACCAGATCTGGTTTGCTTTTTAATCTCAGTAATTCTTGGTTTAATACTAGTTTAACCTTTTTTACATTGTTTTTTGTGCTTTCTTACGAGCATGATACGGTAGTAGATAATGTTATCCTCTTAAATATCATTCATTTTATTCAATATCAACTCTTCATTTTTTTTTTCTTCTCCTTTTCTGGTAGTTCCAGGCAGCAGCAAGGGCGTCCCAAGCCCGGGCACCCTGCAGAGGTCCCGCAGTGACATCGACGTGAACGCTGCGGCGGGCGCCAAGGCCCGCCATGCTGCTGGGCAGGCAGCTGGAGCTGGGCGCCTCTCCGCAGCCGGGCTGCCCCCGGGCTCCTACGCCTCCCTAGGTAAGGGGAGCTCCTCTGCTCTGCTGCTCTCAGAGGTCTTGGGGATTTTCTTGATCCAAAAGTTACAGTGCAATACTCCTGTGTTTGAAAGCAGTCGTTGTTAGTAGCACTGGAGTGTGGCAGAAGAGCAGGTGTTCTGAAGTAAGTCGCAAACTTTCCTACGTGCTTTATTTTTCTTGTGCTGGAAGAATGCCAGTGCAAAGAGTGTGTCCATACTGTGCTCTCTGAATGGCTTTATCTAGAATTAATGTTAAGTGTTGGAAGGAGTGGTATCTGTACTTAACAGCACATGGTGATCATGTCTTTTTTTGTTTGTAAAATGAATGTGAGAGCTCTTGATTTTCCATTTTTCTCAGCTGTTTAGGTATTCTGCAAGAGTGCTAATTCTGCCTGGCAGTCAGTGATGGCTTCTTCATGAAATAGAGAAGTGTTTTACACAATAACTTACTACACATTGAGTGTGTAATTTCTTCCTAAGGGCATTGATGGAACTATGTGTATGCTTTACCTAGCTGACAGCCTCCACTGATATTTGCTGTTAGACATAGGAAGTGCTGCACGTGGTAATGGTGCAGAAAAGTATTTGATAATTGTAGTGGTACCAGGTGGTGGTGTCAGTGCTAGAACATCCACTAAGTGGCAATGGTAAACGACTATGGACGTGAATTTTTAGCTTATCAGTGCTGTAGGGATAACAGTAGGAGAAGAGAGATTCAGTGTTCACAAAACTGTTTTTTTCTTCTCAGCTTTTGTGCCAGCTAGATTAGCAAGGAGAAATGTTAGTATGGCCATAGGTAATCACAAGAGGCTAAGAAGCTGTATAGTTCTTCTGATCTGCATTGTCTTTGGGCAGGTCTTAGCATACATGTAGGCTGTGGTTTGTGAAGGTTTTAGTTGTGCTTTCTAAGATCAGAACTTAAGTTAAAAGCTGCCTAAAATTAGTTGATTCTTTTCGTCATCAGGGCCCGGTATAAGTGCTGTGAACGGCATTGATTTTAGTGTTAATTGAAAGAGCAGTCCTGAACTAAAAGGAATACTGGGTACTTGGAATAGCACTTTCGGATGTGGGCTCCCTCTGGTGCCCGCAGAGGGGGCAGCAGAACCTGCTGGATTGCAGGTGGACACCGACATGAGGCTGCCTGGTGGAGGGGATACACCCGTGGTTCCTCGGGGAAATGATGGGTGCCCCATCCCTGACAGTGTTCAAAACTAGGCTTAGAGCAACCACTCCAGTGGAAGGTGTTCCTGTCCACAGTAAGGGGATTGGAACTTGGTGGTCTTTAGGTCCCTTCCAACTCAAGCCATTTTATAATTCTGGAACCGTGAGTTCCTCCTCACTTAGTGCCTAAAAGTCTGAAATACGTGTGATGATAGTTTTCCAAGATCAGAGTATTGCCTGGTGTGTTTTGATGTGCAATAAAACATATTTTGAACCTCAGACAAAGCTGGCATTCAAAGTAAAAGTGATGCAGAGCATGGTGACAGAGAGAAAAGTCAAATGGAAAACAAAGAGATCCTGCTCTGTTAATGTCTTCTTTATGCTGCTCAAATGAAGGGACTATATTGTCTTAAGACTTTCACAGAAAATTATCTCTTGATTGGACTATTGATTTGCTTTTACAACTTTTAAAGCAATATCTGAATCTTGCCAAGAATTTTGTAAGGAAGAGTTGAGAAGGGCACAGAGATTTCCAGTGAAGTAAACAGTGGTGGATTTAGCAGGAAAGTAACGGAAATAGCTTATTCTCTGTGTAATTTATTGATTGAATGAGTGAGAATTGGGAGAGAGGAATAATAAGCAATAAATCCAGGTCCTATTCATTTGAAGGATTTGAGTTGCTGGAAAGCTTTACCTTGCTAGCAGATGCAGTCACTTGTGGAGAGCAGTGTGATGTCATTTGAAATGGCAAAATAACGTAATACTGGCAAAGTACAGTGAAAGTCAAGTCCTAGTGCAGGCAGTGAAAGGGCAGTGGTAGTCAAGGAGACCAAGGTTTGTTGGCAGTCACATAAAAGCTGTACTGCTTGACTGATCTTGGCTCAATCTCCTGACAGTTTCTTGACTGTGGTAAGGTAATTTGAAAGCTACATACCATGTAGACAAGTGTGACTGTTGTTTGTTGTGGATTAGCTTCAAAATATTGTTTACTCTTAGTTTTCGAAAGGTAACCTTTAAATCAATGGAGTGCAAATCCAAGCAAGTGCCATGTTTCAGATAATGGGCTAATTTGTAAAGTTCTTTCTTCTGTCCATTTTAAGGAATTTATTTATAGTAGCCCAAAGATGGAAAGTTAAATGACAGAACTATCAAGCCAATACTGGCCATGGTCTGAAAAGGCCCAGGCACTGTTACTTTATTTCTCTAATGCTTTCCACTCCCTTTAGGTGTTGCAGTCAATACCAAAATAAATGACATTGTGTCCTAGAGCTTGAATTTATTTTCAGCCTGGCTTGCAGAGAAACATCCACCTTTTGCTTACACAGCTACCAAATTTAAAGCCTCAGAAGGCCAGAAGCTTATAAGCATAGTAATCCATAATTGTGTTCACCCATCTCTTCCTTTTTCATTATTAATACAAGAACTCTTGCTTATTTATGATTTATTAAAAGACTATGCTAGAAGCAGGAGGATACTCTCTAGTTATTTTAAATGTTGACTATCTTTGACATCCTTAAGTATTAATGTCCTTGGTGAGGAGGCCTGAGCTGTAATTATATATGTCTTGTGCTAAATATTTTAATTTTGATTGTTACTGTCAGAATATTTATGCCCTACCTTCCAGCTGAACTGGTAAATATTTAATGCTTTTAAAACAGAGTGAAACTTTCTCTTATTTGTCCTCTGTCTTAATTGTGCTGTTTTTCCCTCCTGTCCCTTACCCCAGGTGGGGCTTCATGCTCAGAAGCAAATTTAATAAGAAATATAAATATGTGGTTCAGTAATGATGTACATATGTACTGATGCTTCAGTAACTGTTTACACCAAGAATGAAACCGTTTATAAATGTTTTAGGGTAAGGGTTTTCTCAAATTTGGGAAATACAGAATCAATATCACTGTGCAGGATACTTGTACTCTGTTTTGTAATTTTGTACCTTGCACTGGGCAAAACCAACTTTGCTTAAGGTAGCTTATACATGCATTAATTAGGTAAACATGTCTGCTGTATTTAATATTAATGTATTTTCCTCAATTAATGTTTTATGACTCTGCTGTGAACACCTTTATTCTAACACACTAAGTTTTCCATGTTTCTTTGCCTGCTTTTTCAACAAAGAGGATACTTCTGACAAGATGGATGGTAAGAAATTATTTAGTCTGTCCTCTAATTCTATTAAATATCTAATAAAGTGTCTTTTATGTAAAAGTATTGATGTTTAATATATTTGTCTGTTCATTAACAAATTACTATGCTGTTTCCATTAACTCCTGTGTAATCTTGATGTCTTATGTGTTATTGCTGTATCTGTCAATTTTGTGAATGTTTGGTCTGTATCAGCAACAGAAACCTTAACAGAAATCTGACATTACCCCTCTTTTTTAAAAGAAGCTCTGTTAATTACAGAGCAGTTTTGTAATTGTTACATGCTGATGTTAACTAGTTAAATACATGCATTTGAAATTAATCTAGTGCCACCTGATTCAATAGTTGTGCATGTGAAGTCAATTTTTTTGACTTAGCAGAACAGCAGTGGGAGAGCCGAAGATGCTTGACCACTTAATTATGAAAAAAGCAGAAAACCAAAAAAATCTCCTCTATCAAAATCTAGGTATGCTACATAATTTTAACTGCCTTTAAATTCTGTAGTAAAATGTAATTCTCTTAAAGAATCATTTGTGAAGAAGACTTACCTGTTAAAATTGCTTATCAAGTGTCCCACCTAAGTTTTAGCACTTGCTTTTTCTTAATTCACTCTGTTACAAATACATAGTGGGACTGCAAAACAGTTGAGCATCAAGCTTCTCATAGCAATTGTCTGTTTCAGGTGTGTGCAAATAATGCTTCTCATATAATAAAGTGACAGTCCCAGCCTGCTGCTTGGTGATTGTAGTTCTAATTTATTGCTTGGGAGCACTTAACAAGCCCTTAATAAGTTTACTGCTTACTTAATATTTTGTATGATGTATTTATTAACTGTGCATGTTTGGAAGAATTAGTAGCTTATTGGAAGCAAATGTATCTCATAGAAGTGAAAAGAGTAAGAAAATAGATCTCTAAACCAGAATCCTGAATAATCTCAAAAGAGGTGCTTCTTGAAAGAATTGGAGCTGGTTTTTGGCACTGAAGATGTCAAGACTAGTTTAATAAAATGAGGAGTGTTTGTACAGGATAGTAGAATCTGTATTGCTTATTTCCACATTGCATGTCCTTAGGCTACATATAGTAGGCTTTACTTGTAGCTGTTTGTTTATAGCTGGTATTTATAGCAACTCTCGAACTTTGGACATTGTCACCAGAAATAAATCTTCTTAGGGCCATGTAGGCTTTTTCTTTTGTCCTGTCCCGAAGTCACAACTAATGCTATGTTGCACATTTCTGTTTAAAGCAGCAAGGGAAGTGCTATACAATTGATCAGAGTTAAAAGGGTGGGGTTTTGTTCTAGAAGCTATCTCCAGATATGATCTGCATTTGGAATGAAAACAGCTGTCCAGCTGTAGTTGCATGATACAGCTGTTCTGATCTAACCATCACCAGGAGGAACTAATCATTTTTCCTTTGCCCACTAACCTTGTCCACGTATTTTTTTATCTCTTCTTTTGTTAGCACCTTGTGATACTCCATTATTGATGACTGTAGGTGAACAAACTCCATAAAACTGATTTCATAAAAGTGACTAATACTGTTATTTAGCTGTTGGAGCTGCCAGTGAACCTTTAGCCATCCAGACCAGGTGGTAGCACAAGGCTGAGAGGAATGAGAAACAGAACCACCCCTTTCAGGAGCTTTTAGGAATCTCTTAGGCTGTCTTAGTTGTTGCATAGGATCTGCCTTCCAGGATCCATCTCTGCAAGACTGTTGATTTGGAGAGGTAGCTCAGGGTTTGGGGGGTTTGGTTTTTTTGTTTGGTTTTGAGTTTTTGCAAACTGGCAAATTTATCTCAGTACTTTGAGGCACTCCTACCTACATATTTCTGTAACTGATTTTTGTGAAGAAGCATTGAAATACACACTGAACTAGTTTTTTAGAGGGAGTTTTTAAAAATAGCTCTGTGAAGATATTGTAACATGGGAAAACTTTCCCAGCAAATCTGACTGAGTTCAGGCTAGCCAAAGACACTAACAGATGTTTTCATCGTTGTAGTTCTCTTGCAGGGCAAAAATGGTAGAGGGTGAAAATAAAAATGGAAGTATCCTTTGTTTGTTTTTTTTTTTTTTTAGGGGCATTTTTACAATTACTAGAATGCATTTGATTGTGTAATAAGTTCTGTTTCAGAGGAACTTAGAGGAAGGACTGCTGATGAGGCAGGGTCCCATCAGTTCCTAGGTACTGATGGGAGAAAGGTTTGTCTGACTCTCACATTATCAAAACTCAAGCCTTGTTAAGCTCAGCATACTTGTCCAAGTGTGATCTGATTTCAGCAAGCTCATATTCCTTCCATGTCTCTGAGCAAGACTTGATCTTGTGCATGTGTATCTTCAGAGTAATCACAGGCTTAATTCAGAGAAATCCTTCTTGCTGGCAGTTCCTGTCAAATTATCACTGTCCAGTGTGGGAAACACTGTCTCTTTGTTTTTCTCTGAGGTTATGTATAACAGTATGCTTCATATTTGCAGAAGAGCTTGCATTACAGTATTTTTAATGTCTGTTTTGATCTGTATATGTAATTTTTTGACTGATCTCATAGTTGTAATTTTCTTCTATTGAACTTTTTGTGGTTTGAAAGGCAGTGATGTGCATTTTGTTCTTGTAAATTGGCTCTCAGTGTAGTATGGATATTTTCTTGATTATTTTACTTCAGTTCAGTTATGGAGTTGCAACATAAAAGCTTTAGCTCTCTTGACTTGTTAAAATTTGTCAAGATTCCCAAGATTAATCTCAAAAAGAAATTTCAAAGACATAGTATTGTTTGGAATATCATGTATTTCATTATTTTTTCTGTTTAGGAACAGCTTCTGAAGATGGTAAGAAACTACTTTGTTAGACTAGCTAATATTTTCAGCTTCATATTTTCATATATTGATACAAATGAAGCTTTAAAAGTAGAACTTGGTGTTTCTCGGGTGTTGTGGAGGTTCATAACAGATACGGGCTTATGGGCTAACAGCTTATGCATCTAATACTTGGTTGTTATGTACTATTTTTTAAATTCTTTTGCTTTTATTTTAATTCTCAATTACTCATCTGCAGTCTGAAGTACCATTGCTTAACATTCTACTGTGAAAATACAGGGACTTTATTATTTTGCATTCATTCTTTAAAGCAAATCTTGTCACAGAATATTTCATCAAATGTGTTCATGCTCTGGGAAGCAGGTGCTACTATTACTCATCTCTGTGAGACTTGGAAGCTAATTTTCTATTGTTATTAGCATTTAAACCTGCCATTAGTGAATGGATGTAGAGACTCCAAATGAGTTAACAGTTCATTTAACTGACAGACACAAACTGATTTATTTTACATTGATAAAACTGAAACAGGTTCCAGGTGATACTTTAACATAGTATTGAAATAGTGGCACTCTGTATTCCTAGGTTTTGGGCCAAATTCCGAATGCAGTTACATGCCTTGCAGTCTCACAGCTCTCAATTGCCATTGCACGGGGATAACTAGTAGAGTTTGCACTAGTTAATCTAACTGTTCTTGCTAAGCCTATTGTTTTAGTGAATAACCACCTTTATCCTGATTCTCTTCCTATAGACTCTCATCTGTGGCTATTCCCTCTACTTGGAAGAATAATATTAACTTGGTTGATGTCCAAATTCTGCTGTGGAAAGCCTAAAGAGGCTAGAATTAAATAGCAGTCCATGTACTTAATTCTTTTGGATCAAATATTGACTCAGCATGTCTACGAAATATTTTAATCATGCTGTGTTTAAAAGTGTAGAGCTTGTTGAGCTAGATCCACCCTGTGCAGACTTAATGGGATTTGTTCTTGCAGCTTAGAAGAATTATGGTTAGCATGAGTTTGGTTGTGATTTCATTTTGCTGCTGTTTGAGAGGTTGGCTTGGGAAATGTAGTATACAACACCACTATTTTCTTTTATGAAGGATCTTTCAGATAGCTATAATACAGACAACTGGGATCTTCCTTTCTTTAATTTCTTTGTATATGCTGGATGTTACAAGAAACATGGCTAGCAATGCAGAAAGCTTTGAAAAACCAAGAGAATTTGCCATTTGGCATTCTAGGGAAAAGTGAATCTTGTTTTATTTGTAGATACTTAGTTTATTTTGTCTCTTGCTTGGCCTTTCTGTCTAGTGGGGAAAGTAGTATTTCTTCATATCATGTTGTCATGAGAACTACTTGAATGTATTTAGTGTCTGCAAAATGCTCTAGAAGGTTTGGGAAATCCTGTAGAAGTCTGTATGACTGGGGCCAGGAAAACAGTAGAATCTTCAGTAATAAAAAATATTTAGATTTCTTAAAATAGGAGTGAAGTTAGGAAGAAAGCTCAGAATCTGTTGTTTTATGACAGCAATAGTAGAATTAGAAGCTCAAGTAATAATCATGAGAAGACTCTACCTCATACAGCAACATTAGTGTTTGAATTACATTGTATTGAGTAAACTTCCCCTTTTTTAATGTACTTGACATATATATGTTGGAAGGAAGAACTAACTAGCCAGTCCAGGGTGTTGAAGGTGTAATGTGCAAATTGTTTGATGAAACATGTAGCATCAGAGGAAAAGTATCTTGCTTCCTCAGCTATTAAGTTCATCAAGGTGTTCAAATTTCTACTAATTATCCCAAGCGAATTGTCACCAGTTGAGTTACATTGCGCTTCTTTTATATGCAGAAACTTTATAAAATATTAGTAAATACTACTGATGCTCTGCTTCCTGCATGACTGTGAAAAACTGATTTAATGCCCTTTTTCTTTTCTAGGTCGTATACGATCAAAGCTCTCCACCCCTTCCGTTGGTATTGGAAATTCTAAAACAGATTCCAGAGGACGGAGTAGAACCAAAGTGGTGTCACAATCGCAGCGTATGTATTTTCTGTTTATCACTTATACCTGATAAAGAGGCCAAATGCTTAAGCATATATTCATTGACCAATGGCTACAGTCAAAGTTAATTTTTTTAAAAAAAGCTACATACTGAGTTGTTGTTCTGTGCCTTAGGTTCATCATCGCCAGACCAAAATGAAGGTATTTTTTTCAGTGTTTTGGGTCAGTGGTATTTGCATGCTTTTCTGATTCATGTTGTTTTTCTCTGGACAAAATATTAGGTTAGATCTTAGTTTGCCAATTAGATTTTACTTCCTGCTACATTATCTAATTTATCTTTAAATTCTGTCTTCAATTATAACTTCTCAACATTCTTTTCCCCCCTTTTCTGACTTCCTCAACATGAAACACCAGTAAACATGGACTAGTAATAGGGAAGAATGGAAGGCAATTACCTGAGAGACCTAGTTTTCCATTTTTAAAACAGTCTTATTTTAGCCACAAATACCCATTTTCTTTAGGCTAGGCACTGCTGTAGCTCTTGGGTATAAACTCCTTTTTTTTGTATTACAGCTCTTGCCTTCACTTAACTCTTCTTTGAGGAAAAAATGCTGACCCCTCACGTTACAATCAGTTACTGAGCTTGTGTTGAGTCAAAGGGTTAAAACAAGCAATTTAATGTGTGTCAGCTAATCCACAGTAATTTTCTCTGTGTCTTTAGTAACCACTGCAGATGTAGCCAAGCACTTGGTCATTAATTAAAAAGACCTGATTACCTCACACTCTTGGCTCTGGCTGACCTACAGCAATTCATCCACACATGTGATGTCTCCAACAGACATTTTCTGACTAAGCTCTCTAGCATTTTCAGATTCTTATCTTTTTCTGATTAGGTGAAATGCAACTAAATTAATGAAAAGAAGACAAATGCACAATAAAATTAAAATTAACTTCCCACTTGTATAAATTCTCAGATCTAATGTTCTAAAACAGTAAGTTTTGCCAGGTTTAAAATTTTCCATACAGTTATTTTGCTATCACTAACCGTATCCACTTTCTTTAATAAAACCCTTTAATAATTTGTTTAATAGCAGAAGCATTTGTCTTCATAGCAGTGACTGCATCTGTTGTAAATAGAATGATTTTAGAAGTCAAAAAACCGGGTAGTAGCTGGGTTTTTCCTGTTAGAGTACTTGCCATAATTTAATTTCCCAACAAGTACAGTTGGATCAAACCTGATCTAGTGTATGCAGGTTTTCTGAAATAAAGCTTTCAAACAATGTGTACAGATAAATGTAGCATACTAAAAATTCAGTGGAGTTACTACTGAAATTCCACTACTACTACTGAAATTCAGTAGAAGAAGTTCCCCTAAGGGCTTTGACAATACTCTAGTCCCAGAAATGTTGGTGAAATGAGAGCCTTCAAACGAGTTGTTGGGACAAAAGTTCTGCAAAACTTGTTTTACAGATTGCAACACTGTACCATAAACAAAGAATATGTGAATAATTTAGGAGGGAGGGAAGGTAAAGTTCCTTCTAATCCCCTTTTCCCTTCTGTGAAAAGCTATAAGCAGTGTCTGTAACAATTTTTTCATTAGTTTTAGTAAAGTTTTGGAATTAAGCTTTTTTAAAATGCTTTTGCATTTTTAATAGCTTTGGTAAATTTGTAAAAAGCAAAGATGTTTGATAAATGTCTGAGGAAGGGGATAAGTTTAGGTAGCAATATAATACTTTAGTGATGATCACTGTCATATAACATTAAATAAATCTGTATCCAGAGAAGCAGAATTAGGCCTTTCCAGTTTTTCTACTAATAATGACTGGGTTGGTTTTTTAAATTCATTTTTACACAGTATTAATGTCTAAAGAGATAAATTGAGATAACTAGATCTGACTACATGTGATGATGTGTGAAAATTAAATGCATGAATACATCTTTACAGCCTTTTATTACTACTTCTGTTCAGAACTGATTGCTTCAAATAGTTCATTATAACCTGTCAGTGGGGGAGAACAAGAATTCTGAGATGTTTTAAGGAAGATAAACAGGGCAAATACAAATGGACAGGCGAAGGAGAATTCTCAGGCACTGTATGCCAGCTATTTGGGTGATGCTTCTTTATGTGACTGAAAATTTTCACAGCATTGTGTGAAGTGTGATGCTTAATGTTTCCATACAGGGGATTGTTGTAGTTCCCCAGCTTATATAATGAGAGAATAGCTTCATACTAGATTTAAGCTATCTTTTTTTTTAAACCACTCTAGCACAGATGCTTTTGTTAATTTTTGGGTTGCAGCTATCTTTTGTTCAAAAATCATTTTATGAAAGACTTGCAAATTTGAATGCTTTTACCAAAAAATATTTTTTTAGGGTTTTAAAAGCCCTTTACTCTTCTATTTTTAAATTAACATAAAGTAAATGCCTTATTATTTTATTCTTACCTATGGAAAAAAATGGTTACATTTTTTTCCTCTTCTTTCCAGTTTGATTGTCAGGTAATTTAACAGTTTCTGCTAAAATTGCATTACAGTTGACATTCAGAGAATTTCTGAATGGAAACAAATTCTTCCTTTTGTACTCAAGATTACTTTTAAAGAGGAAAACAAAGAATTCTATGCAAGTCTTTTCAGTTATGCCATTGTGAATTTGGTTTTTTTGTTTTGGTCATCCACCGCACCTGCAGCTCAGTTCCTTTACTGTTGTGTCTCAAAAAACAGTTTTGATCTCGTGTGTAATTTTTGTTCAGCTGTTGAACTTCTTGAGCCTTTTTGGCAATGTAATATTCTTTTCAAGTAATATCCAGGCTACAGTTTCATGCTTAATTGAAATTTAATTCTTCAGTGTTGAGTTGTTGATTAGAAAGCTGAAGAATTGTAATTTGCTTGTGCAGCTTTGCTTCATCTGCTTTGTACATAGCATATGAGTTTAATTCTTCAATTGTGGAAGCTACTTAATAGCACTGCTTTAGCATAACCCCCTTGTGGCTTTTTTCCTGTGTGAAATGACTAAAGCTTTCTTATTTCCATTTGCCATTCATTTTTTAATCTGCTCTGCTCCCTCCCTCTTCATGGATTATAAATCCCTACCCTAATCCTGCCTTTACACTTGTTCAGGATCACAGTCTGCTAACCCCATTGGTGGTAAGAGTCTACAGAATTTGTGTACACATCATTGTTTGATCACCTGTTTGACATGCCTCATTTAAGGACCCTATTCAGCAGAAATTCTGGCTGGCTTTTTTCCATATGCTGCGCGTAAATTAATTGTGTAGAAAGCAGGAGAGATGAGATGGGTTTGTAATTTTGGGGTAGTGCCTTAGTAATCTGTGTTTCATCATTCAGCTCACTTAGATCTGCTGGTAGTGGTAATAGCGACAAGAGTATGCCAGTGCTGCTGTTGTCAGGCTGAATTCAGTTAGTTTACACTGCAGTGGTACACTTTGCAGGTCAGACTATAGAAAGATTAAATGAAGTTTTAGAACAAGTGGTTTCTGACCTATTGAAGAAAATGTACAAGTCTGCACCACAGTGAAACTTTCAACAATATTTTTAGTGCTTTAAAGAGTTACTAAACAGGAAGAAGGCATAGTAATATCAGTTCTAAGTTGAAATACCCTGATATGAAGGAACTGTCAAACCCTTAATTTTTGCACTTAACAGCAGTTTTATAGGCTTGCTTATTCTTTTGTTGCTATAGAAGTTGTGCTTGTTTTTTTTCCAGGCTGCATAATAGTTTATTTATCATTTCTGCTGAATAGGCCTATAGTCTGGAAAAGGGATTTTGCTAAATAATCATTTCAAGTTTGAATTCAAACAATGAATCTGAAAGTACATGCATGGTACATTTTTTAGATTTCTCTCTTCCACCCAGCTTATGTTTTACTTTGTTTGGGATTTTATTTCTTTTCCCATATAGTCAAGCTGTAGTCAAACTTGTGTCTTTTTTTCCACATGTCTCATGAGAAGTAACCCATGAAATTCACTTGAAAAGTTGCATGTTGTCTGTAAATCTGATAGCATCACTGTGGTCATACAGTTACCTGATTTTATTTTAAGATTAATGAAGGGTTCAGATTTGTATGTAATTAGTCTTTGATTGAAATTCTGGTTTGCTTTTTATTTGGTCATATTTCTTGAATTGTATAGCTGGAAGCAATATATTAATGTCAGCTGGTGATATAAATTAGTTACAGCTAGGGAAGAATGAATTCTTTGCTAAAAACTTAGAACTTAAATGTTCTGTAACTGAAATATCAAAATTTAAGATAAGTGACCACCTTTTCTGGTAGTGATAACGTACCTGGAACATCTGTAGTACTTTGTACTATACAGTTTTAATTAACAGAAATTTAAGACACTTAAATATATCCTAGTCAGTTTTTTAGCTTGTTTAGAATTAATTGAAGGTTTTCTGTAATTTGTGGGGTAACCTCCACAGAAATGTGCATGAGTAATCTGTCTTCTGTCATATTTTATTTAATGTCAGAATAGTCCTTGAAGACACCATGCATTTAAAAGCAAGGGAGAAGATTTCAAATATTAGGAAAATCACATAATTAACTCTAACACTTGGTTGCATTGGAACAGCTGGGATAGTTATGAAATCCTAGTTTAAAATTTCTCCTTTTAGCTTTCCAACAGGTTTGTTTGTTTGCTTTTCTTTATTAATAGAAAATGTGGTTAGTGAGACCACATAGCTTAAAAAAAAAAAGAACACATTCATTTTAGGGACCGTGGAACTCTTGATAAAGTCCAAAATTAATAATTGTGGTTTCTTGAGCTCATGTAGTGCTAAATACCATGTCAAGTGCTTCCTTGCATCAATAATTTTAACTACCTTGTATGCAGTACCGGAAGAACTCGGACCAAAGCATTCTATTTCATGTTTTTACCTTGTAAATTTTTCCTGATCATTTCAGTCTGCCACCACCTTCCTACTAACTTCAGGTATTATTTTCTTTTTAACCATGGTTATTTGTCCACTGTGGTGTTGCTAATATTGTTTAATTCTACCTTCAGCTGGCAGTAGATCTGGGTCTCCTGGAAGAGTTTTGACAACAACCACACTTTCCACTATGAACACAGGAGTTCAGAGAGTGTTGGTGAATCCTGCAGCTGCACAAAAACGGAGCAAAATCCCACGAAGTCAGGGATGCAGTAGAGAAGCTAGTCCTTCTAGGTTGTCAGTAGGTAAGAGTCACCAAATAACTCGTGGTTTCTTTATAGCCCTTCTTAAATTAAGTGCTGGATATCCACAGCTGCTGTTTAATTATAGGTGGATGAAAAAAACAGAATACATCCCAGAATGTGGCTGTTTTCTGAGACTAGTTTTCAATGCACAAGACAGTTGTTAACTGAAGCTGAAATTTGAGGTTTTTCTTGTCAGAATGTTGTAGTTGTTATTTTCCTCACCTCCCTTTCTTCCTTCTCTTTTTTTCCCTTCACACCCAAAATACCCATATCCTTTGAATGAAAGTGTAATACCATTTTGGAAATAAGTTCTTCATTACTTCATGTCTTCTGTGTATGTGTGTGCACATGTGTAAATGCTGTGGTGCTAAAAGGAAGGTTACATGTCTTCAGCCTCAGTATGATTTGATTACACTTTATTGCAAACAACATTATTGAAAGACATCTGTTGATTTGAATGGTGTTGATGCTGTTCTTCCTTTGTATTTTTGATTTTTATCTTAGCCACATAATTTTATTTTCCTTCTTTGTAAGGCTGTGGAGTTTTTCATTGGTGCTACTCTCGATTAACTTCATCATGAGCACAAATTCTGAATCATTACTCAATGTTGTTCATTTTTTCTCCATCCTTTCCAACGGGTCTTTCAACCATTCTGTGAAGAGTTAGTAAATTTCCATTTCAAGCTGTACAAAAAAATAATTTCATTGAACTGACCACACTTAGACTAACCCACCACAATCAAGAGAGTCTGTAAAAAAGGTTATGACTTAAAATGCGACATAATCATCAATGTCTTTTCTTAGAAACACGTCTTTGATCTTACTGCGGAACAGAATTGCATTAAAACTGCAACTTTTCTTATGTCTTCTCCCTTTGTGCCGCTGTTTGCCTGCACCCTGAATCATACTAGCGCGAGGCAGCCGCATTCCTCGGCCTAGTGTGAGTCAGGGCTGCAGCAGGGAGGCCAGCCGTGAAAGCAGCAGGGACACGAGCCCTGTCCGCTCTTTCCCGCCCCTGGGTAAGTACTCGGAGCCTCGTCGTGCATGGCTGTCCTGCCCCCTAACGAATCCGTGCCTCCTGCCTTTAGCTTCTAGCTGGCCACCGGCTTCTCCCTCCCTTTGGCTCTGCCCCCACTTACCCCATGGAGGACTGAGCAGTGTGTGAATGGGCTGCACACAGAAATACAGGCTTTGCTAGGCTCAGTCGGAAGTACCAAGTCTAGAAAGATGTGTGGTGCGCAGTGTCCGGATGCCATTTTGAAAAGACATTCCTGGTTTTGGGTACTTTTTTGAAATTGCATGTTTCTCTTTTCATTGCTTGGGTACTTGAGTGCAGTCAGCTGTTGCTCAAAATTTTCTACCTAGTCAATGAATTATTTTAGTGTATAAGGAGAAAATACACTTAATTATGTCCCTTCAGCTATAGTCAGCAGCTTATTTGTCTAACACAAATTGCAAGGTTTTGTAAGATTATCACTCTGTTTCTGAGATGTCAATGAGGTATAAGGATATTCGTTTATTATTACCTTAAGATGTTGGTTAAGGATTAGGGCAGGTTTTTGTCTCCATGTATTTTTGTCAAGGTTGCTACAAAGTTGCTAGTACATTTTGCTTAAAGTGCTTTTACATATTGGGTTTGTTGGTTGAGTTTTTGTTTTGCTTGTTTGGTAATATTTCTCTCTCTCAATTCAACTCTGTGCAATTGAATCTGAAACAGATCTCTTTTTGATCTTACCTTTGTCTGAAATAATCTTCAGTATCCATCTCATTTGCTTTGTTCAGTGTAGCTTACAGTTAAGGACTTCATAATACTAGCTATTAAACACAGTCTGAAAATAGTAAATCTCTGATTTCTATTTCAAATTGAGGCACCCTATTGTACTCCTAATTAGCACTGGACATATGTTGTGGTCTGTTAGGGCTTCCTGCCAGGCATGGTTTTATTGGGAGAGTACAGATTAATTGAGTGAAGGCTGTTTCAGTAACTAATGCTAGTTTGCCCAGATGCTGTTTAATTGGGAAATGATACTAAAAGTAGATGTTATGCAGGATCCATTGAGATAGCTGTATTTTTTTCTAAAACATGACTGGGAGATTGTGTTGAAGTACATATGTACCTTCTATTCTTTTAAAAACAAGGGTGTTTTCCAGAACTCTTGGTGCTTCTTTTGCTGCATTGCAGCTTGATTTGAATTACATGCATGCCAGATCAGGTTTACATTTTGTAACTGGTCAAATGCTTGCTATCTTAAGAAGTCTGTATTAGGCAATGCCATGAGATATTTGGGATAGATGCCACTGGAGGTTTTATTTTATATAGTTCAGTTTTGTAATTCAGATATCAAAACAAGTACTAGTGAAATAGGTGGAATTGTCCGGTAGCACAGAGAATGCAAAGTAATATGTATAGGAATCCAGCATTGGTTAAAAAAAAAAAAGGAAATTATACTGGGAATGGGAATAAATGAAGATTTCTTTTAGCATGACTTTTTATTTGAATGATTTAAAATGTCATTCATTGCTTTGTTGGTACAAGTGAAAGATGAAATAAGGCAAATTCAGCTCTGTGTATCTAGAGGCAGTTTGACAGGGGGATGAATAGGGGAATGTAACTTGTATTGCCTCTCATTGTCAGCACAGAAATTTTTGCTTACAAACACAAATGAAATAGAATGGATTTTATCCCCCTTTAGGGTATAAAATGACCTAAATGCTGCATAATTGCTTCACTGTATTCATTGGTATGGAGTGTTTATGTAATCTCACATCTCAGTATAATGTTATAAACTGGGAGATAAGAGCCATTAAGAAGGAAGCGATTTTTAATTTATATAGAAGTGTCTACTTTTATTAAATAGTCAGTATTAAATATCAGACTAGTTTAATGTCCATATTTTAGCTAAGAAATCATTCATTTCATCTTAGTGTGAGTCCATTTGAACTCTTTGATTCATACTTTAAAAAAATGCAGCAGCAAAAGTAAATACTTGACAATTTCTGCAGTTTGAGGGCTACAAAGCATATTCTTGAAAATAAGTTTTGGAATGAGGTACATTTCACCCTATATATAGTGGTTTTTTTCACCGTCTTAAAAACTTGTCCAGCATATTTCAAATGTATGTAGGGATAGGAGTAATTTCAAGTTTCTTGCCTGAAGTTTGAATTTTTAGTTTTCAGTTGAACCTGTAATTTTCAGCGTTCACTGATGGAAAGTAAGGGGAGGGTTTCTCCCATTAATGCTTGTATTTATAGAGCTGTGATGTCTGTGTTGTGACATCCTCAGTCCTGTCTCCTTTTCCATGCTGAGATGCACTTTCTGAAGAACCAAGCATTCCATGAAGCATTAATTCCAAACTTCAATGCCCCAGCCAAGCATCTTCATGTAGAATTAGTTAGAAATAAAGTACATCACTGTACCTTATGTAAGGAGTGGAGAACTTAATGTGGAAAGACACAATGTTGTTTCTGGGATCTTTACAGGGCTTAGGGTGGTTGTGGAAGTGCACTCAGGTTAAAAGGTCCTTCCCAAAAGATCCTTCCCTGATCCATGGTTCACCTGTACATGATTCAAATCAGACTCTTGAATGGTCTTTGCTAATCAGAGAAAAGGATGATTATTTGATTTGTCTGTTTGTGCTACTTTATATATCCAGAAAGAGTAAGATATGTGCTTTTACGGTTATTTGTTAAATTGTAAGATTTTATCTAGGAGTTTTGCCTTTGTGGGTGGACATTTGGGTTCAAGTTTAAATTGTCATTTATGTGGCAATAAAATTCTAACTTAAGTGAACTGAAGAAAAAAGTTGAGTTGTATAAAACATATCTAATTTAAAATTTGCTTGTTTTAAGAAAGAAAATACTAGCAATGGTGAGTCAGCTTCTTGAGAATCACTAAAAAAGCAGTTTTATACAAGTGCCATAAGGAGTGAGGTACTCAGTTTTATTCAGAAACCCTTAAGGATCTCCAGTTTCCCGTTGCCATAACTAAAGCATCGTAATGAGCTGTAGTAACTAACGTGTTTCAGCATCACATTTTATTCATTTAAATAAAATAGTAACTATATGAATTATAAATTGCATTGGTTGGCTTATGTTAAACTTTTAATTATAATTGGGTATTTTTAACTTCATTTTCATAGTGGTGAGTTTTTGCTGAGGTTGAGTTGTCTGCAACATAGGCAAGAATTCAAGTGTGTACAAATTGTCAGCTGCCAGCACAGCAGGTTCATGCAGGAGGCACTTTTTGCAGATAATGTTTGATATGTGAGCTCTGGCTCTGACTGGAGCACGCAGAATTTATTTAAGTCCACAATGCAAGACCAGTGTCAGTGGACTGATGCCTTTTCAGGTGTTTCTGATGATTCTGTTTGTGTGTGTGTGTGTGCATGTGTCTGTGCACCTTTTCTTCTTTGAACTTAAACGTACTTGCTTTTACCCTGCTCTTAATCTTGTAAATTTAAAAAAAAATTATGCATGAAATGTCCAGTGTACATAAACCTATATAATCATATTTGGTATAATCAAAGAACTACTCTGAAGATTTTTGCTTCTGTTTAATATTCCGTTTCTTGTGCTTAAGCTGAATCTTTTTGATAAATACTCTCTTGTTCACCTGAGCAGCTATTGCAGCACTGTGATTCCCTGGTCATAGATAGGGTTTATCTAATCCTGTTATTGCAGCTTCCAGACATCACTCCAGATCCACTGGTGCCCTCTACGCTCCTGATGCTTATGGGGCCACAGGTGAAGGATGAGTACCTTTTGCTGTCATCTGTGCAGTCATCCTGGATTTTTTTTTCCCACCCACTTGGTTATTCTCATAGTTCAGTTTTAGAAAGCATTATTTATATTAATTTGAGTTTTGTGGTTTTAATAATCCAGATAGATGTGTTTATGTTGCTAGATGTCGTCTCCACCCTCATCCTCCAACGTTAATACTTTTTTTCCTTAACAACATTTTTTTACTTGCAGAAAAACTTTTTTTAGTTTTTTATGTTTTTAGTATTTGTAGAGCATTCTTTATGCATGTAGTTTTCTAATCAACAGTCTCAATAGCCTTCCTATTGTATTTGCTTTCTTTCTAAATGAAAACAAAAACCCAAAATGAAGAAGCCATTAATTTTTTGAAAAGCAAAACTTCTTGCAAATAAAACCATTGTTTCATAGGGTTTTTTCCATGTGATGTTGGAACAGAACGTTTGTAGGTGACTGGCTTTTTACTTGAATTCTTACTTTTGTCTCTGCCACTAAAGACTTCAGAATGGAAATGGTTATTTTATCCACTACATAGCTTATTAAAAATGCTAAGCAAATGCTTTTCTTCTACTTGGGTTTTTATAAGTGAGTGTGATATTTACATCCCAGCTTTCTATTCTGATGGAATTCTTTGTGTTTATTTTTGTTGTTGTAACAGGTACTGGCTTTGGAATTAGTCAGTCGAGTAGATTATCGTCCTCAGTCAGTGCTATGAGAGTCCTGAACACAGGTTCTGACGTGGAAGAGGCAGTAGCAGATGCTTTGGTAAGAATCACACCCTTACCTTGTGTGGGTTACAGGCTCTTCAGGTGTTTGATTCCTGTACATTAGTATGCAGAAGAACTTGTAATTTACTGTTTTATTGGCTTCTCGGGGGGAAAAAAACCCAAAGAAACTGAGCTGGTGGTGGAGCTGCAAGTATTGGAATTTTCATTCCTTACAGAAGTGTTAACTTTTGAGAAGCATGCTTTTTTTCATGGCAGACGGGAAACAGTCTTGGTCTGTTGTGTTGGAGTAGCCTAAGGAGCCACTTGAGCATGGAGAACTAACCAGCAGTTTCTCACAACAGCCAGAAAAATTTCAGGATAGGTTGAAGGCTTGTTGGAGCTGGGAATGATGACAGCTAAAGCCCTCTGCTTACCAGAGGTCTGGGTGCCACTTAAAAGTTTTTCTGTCTGACAGCTGGTGAAATTGATGCTGAAGAGATAAAATGATGGCTGGGCAGCCAAGCCCCACACAGCCACTCTCTCTCTTCCACCACTGGTGTCAGAGAGAGGTAGAAGTCAGAGAATGTGTGGGTTGAGATAAAGACAGTTTAATATTGAAAGCAAAAGCCATGAACCCAGGCAGAGCCAAACAAGAAGTTGATTCAGTGCTTCCTATGGGCAGGCAGGTGTTCAGCCATCTCCAGCAGAGCAGGGCCCCATCACACACAGCAATGACTTTGAAAGACAAACACCATCACTCCAAACATCCCCCTCTTCCTCCTTTTCCCCTCCAGTTTATATACTGAGCATGATGTCACATGGTCTGGAATGTCCCTTTGGTCAGTTTGGGTCACCTGTCCTGGCTGTGTCTCCTCCCAGTGTCCCATTCACCCCCAGCTTCCTGGCCAGTGCGGCAGTGGGAAAAGCAGAAAAGGTCTCAGCTCTGTGTGAGCCCTGCTCAGCAATAACAGAACATCTCTATATTACCAACCCTGTGTTCAGCACAAATCCAGAACACAGTCCCACACCAGGCACTGTCAGGAAAATTAACTCTAGCTCAGCCAAAACCAGCACAGCAGGTAGCATCTCATAAGTTTAGTTTTTATTTTCCTTTGTCTTCAAAATGTTACACTGAGTTAAAACTGGTTATTCTCTTTTTAAGCTGTATTGTTCTTTAATAAGGTGGCTGTGACTCCTCTGCCTTCCTGCCCCTGTAAGCCAAAGTGAACACATGATGTATGTTGCTATTCTGATATTTACATCAGCAAGCTGAAATCCTCGGTTAAAGTCCTAATGCTATGAATCAGATACATTTTTATCAATTATTGTATGCTCTTTGCATCTCAATAAATACTTGTATGTATCTGTTTTCTAGTTACCAGAATGCTTTAGTGGGATGGTTATTTCTCTCGTTTAAGAAAAACTGTTATTTTAAAAGTTAGTAAAAAACTACAAATTAGACTCTAAATTACAGTCAGATATAACTCAATAGAGAGAAACAAAATTTGAAACTCTGAAGAACTCTATAATATTCTTAGTATGACTACTGATTTCTTAGTTAATACTTCTTTCTTGACATACTAGTTTGCAATTTATGCGCCTTCACTGGCATACAGATCAGAATATCTGTGAAATCTTGCATAAGAAATCATGGTGAAGTGAGTGCATTTGAGTGCGTTTCCCCTGTCTGTTATTACAAACTTGCTAAATGTTTTCAGCATTAATGATGGTTTGTAAACTGGAATTCAGTCTGGATTTTGGAATAGGGAGCAATAGAAAAACAGTCTATGGAACATGCAAATTTTCTGGCTGTAACTGGAAAGCATGCGCTATGATCCTTTTCACACAAATGCATCACTAAGAGGATCTTCAGTACTTTTAGCAGCCTCCTAGTTTTCAAATTTGCTGGGCAAATTATCTAGTAAGAGTAGAAGTTGAGGAGAAAATCATGTTTCCATGACTGCTCATGAGGCTTTAATATGTCCTGCTTTGTTGAAGCAATAAAGCTTCTTCAGAGAAATGATGCTGCTAGAAATGTTAGAGGAAAATGAGTTAGTATATTTTAACTAGAGTCTGACATTACAAAGAAGGATCAAGAGCAGCATAATTTTATTATTGTAGCACTTGCATGCCTGGTTCCTTGCCATGGTCTAGATAGTACAGGTTGTCTGTACAAATGGCTCCATGTAGATGGAAGTCTGGTAATAAACACTGTTATTGTTTTACCATAGACTGAAGATTCACACTCATAGTGGCATTTTTAAATGGTGGAATGTAGAGTCCTGTCATACGTAATATAAATTCAGATATATTCCAGATTGTGTTTCTCTGTTTTATTTTATGAAAAATACTTGGCCAATTTTAGTGGTGGTGAAGCTAAAGAGGTGTCAGTCTTCTGCCTAAGATCTCTTTTGAATATTGCTATATAAAATGCAGCAATAATGGAAGTCATTCCATATTTTTTGTCTTTTACTTTAGTACCATCTTTGGCATTTCAGATTCATTAACTGAAAAGTTGTTTTATTTTTGCCTTATGGTGTCTCTTTTCCAAAACACTTAACATCTCTGTGATTTTTCCCTTCAGTTATTCTCTTGCACATGTATGTATGCTCGTTCTGTTGACAATAAGCCTGCTTGTTACCTGTTGTATTGATTAGTATTGTGATATCCTTTAAGTTATTCCATGGTTAAAATGAGAGCCCTGTGCAAATTGCAGTGGTAATTAAGGGGAAAACGATCACTTACACTACTGCTTCTTTGAGTATTCTTTGAGTATGTAATGTAACTGAGTTTTTAAATGCTGACTTCAGCTCCAGAGTTTGAATGGCAAGAGCTGTTTTGCAGAGGTGTGTGGGTTTTTTTTCATTTTAGGATAAATAGCTTTTCTTTGTCCCTTCTGATCTTTGGTCTGTTGTGTTTTGTTTTGTTGGCTTGCTTTTTATTTTAGGAAATTTGGAATTTTGCGTTATGTAATCAATTTTTTTTTGTGGAACATTGACTGTTATTACTGCAGTGACAAAATTTAGATATTAAATAGTTCAAATCAAGGTTTGGTCCTTAACTTAAAGTTGATTGTAAAATAAAAATTGCCTGCATGCGTTAAGCTAATGTGTTCATGCTCAAATATCACCACAATATGACACAAAGATTTTCAGAGAGAAGTCTTTGTGAACAACCTGCTCATGATATGTAATATTTTACTGGAAATGGAAACTTAGCAAACTATCTTGACAGTGTGCTAATCAGACACAGAGAGCTAAGAACCAAATTTACAGTAAGACTATATATTGTCCAGTGGCAGGAAGTTTATTACTCACAGTGCTGCTATGCCTTACCTTCCTGTTCTCAATTTCTGTTTCTTTTCAATAATTTACTGCTAACAGCTCTTAGGAGACATACGGACTAAGGTATAGAAACTGTTTTTCTTCTTTAATAGTTTAATATTTTGATATTAACATGTTTGATACAAAATCAGTTAAAATGTCAGAATTTGTGTAGACCTCTGATTCTTAAATTCTGTAATGTATATAAAGCTATGAAGTGAAATAACTAACTTGCAACAATCTTTTGTCATCCCATTATGCAATTTTGTGGGTTCTTGAAAAGGACCTAAAGTTAAATGTTTCCTCAAACGTATGTCTTCTCTGCGTTTGGTTTATGTTTGGAACATTATGTAAGCCATAATTCAGAATATTTTCATTAACTTGGTTTGACCTGCTGAATGGTTGGAGCCATTTGTCACTGCAGGGAGTAGGGGTCACACCAGTTATTGAAACTGTTGGCCTTATGCCCCCCTATGGGTATGTTGTATTATCCCTCTGAGGATCAGTGCTGATCTGGGCTGTCTCTGTACAATAGAAGAAGCCCGTGCGAAGAAGATACGAATCGTACGGGATGTACTCAGATGATGATGCCAACAGTGATGCATCAAGTGCCTGTTCAGAAAGGTCCTACAGCTCCAGGAACGGGAGCATCCCCACCTACATGAGGCAGACAGAAGATGTGGCTGAGGTCCTGAACCGCTGTGCCAGCACCAACTGGTCAGAGAGGAAAGAAGGCCTTCTAGGCCTGCAGAACTTGCTAAAGAACCAGAGAACTCTAAGGTAGGACGGCATCTCAGTAGAGAAACATCTTGTTTCAGTGTTGGTGGGAGGCAGGGGAGAGGGAAGGCAGAGTGTGTCTTTGAGAGTAAGGTGGGGGAAGGAGCAAGGAAGCTTTTCTCACTTCTGGCTACTAGTGTATGTTGATATACTAGTGGATGTAGGGAATACACAATTGAGAATTATTGCCATACAGAGTGTTCGTAAGATGCTTCCATCTACTATCAAAAGAAGGCCTTTTTTATTATTACTATAATTTTGGGGTTATTTATTCAGAAGAAATAGTTTACTACTCACTACTAAGAACACCTGTTTTAGTATCTGCACTGTTACAAAAATATGGTATAATACATGAGACAGTTTAAAAGACATTTGAAGAGGTTTGAAGTCTCGTTTTAGATGAAATTTATTACATTTTTATCCATGTCTCAAACAAAACCTAATTTACTAGATTATTTGATTCAAGATTTACTAGTGATTTCACTGATTCCTATGCATTAGTGTTCTAGCAGAACTGGCAGGGGAGTTGACTAATGTATTGTCATTTTGACAGTCGTGTTGAGCTGAAAAGATTGTGTGAGATCTTCACAAGAATGTTTGCTGATCCTCACAGTAAGGTATGTGTAGGTTTTTCTTATTTTCAATAAATTTCTGAAAACATAAATTAAAAGAAAGGCAGTTATGGTAAATTACATCAGTGATATTTGCATATGTAAAATTTCCCAAGCAAAAGTAGTAAAGTAGGTATCAGATGTCAATTAATTTAATTTGAAGTTTTGAACAAGATAATTTTCCACCCTTTTTCTGCAGGATCATGGAAATAAAGTGAAGGTCAATGTCATATAAAATGCATTGAAGTAGTTCAGGAGTTTGTGCTGAAAATCTGTGTTTTCAAGAGGTTGTTTTTTACAGAGGCCACTTCAACATAAGTATAGATTTTCTCTCAATGAGAAGAAAAGCCTCTGCAGTAATTTAAGTTACAAATTAAGTTGTCTGACTAAATCATACATAATCAGATAAACTATGCCAAACGTGTACTTATTTATTTTCTAGGACATTGTGTATTATCATGATGTTTTCCATGAATTTTGTAGATAGGGCTGGCAGTTGAGACTGGTGAATAATTTTTACATACTTTTTTAAATATTCCATTAGGAGACTATACTTTTGGTTAAAAGAAAATGTGATGGTTTATTCACTTCTACTTAGGTAATGACTCAGTATGGATGATATACCAAAGAAAATAATGCTTCTGTTTCCTAAGACAATTAAAATCTTTTTGAGTTCCTTTTCATGATAGTATTTTTACAATTTTTGTGGGAAGTGGGTTACTAGTACAGCTTGATTAAACATCGCAGTTTCTCATAGCAGAAGGAATGCAGGTAAGGAAGGAGCCCGATAAATGTAATAATATATAAAAACTACCTAACTTTATATTTTATTTAATCATAGGCTTGTTTGGATGAAGTGGTATCTTTTATGTTGAGTATAACGTGTCCCACTTTGTGTCAGTATTTCAGAATTGATAAAATTGTAAAGATGAATTCATAATAGGGTATTATTTTAGGAGTAGTGACTTTTTCCAGAAGAATCCTGAAAAACTACTTTGATTATGCAATACATTTTACACGTTTTGAAAAGTATGTAAAATTCTTTATTATTGCTGCAATGGAAAATTAAATTCAGAGTGATAAGAGGTCTTGACAGGTTAACTTTAGTGTTCATCTGTCCTCTTTATTTTTCCTGATGGAAAAAGTGAGAGCTGCTATCTCTGACACCATGTGTTTTGGAAATAACTTGCACTGCTGATAGCAATGTGGTTCTAAAGTTGATCACATACTGCAGAAATTCAGAAGAAAAGACTAAACCAAGTAGTTAAAAAGAAAAAAAAATACATAAAAAGTCAAAGCAGAGGAAAGAATATTAAATATTGCAATATTGCTGGAATATTTACTTTTTAAACGAAGTAATTACCAAATTGTTAATAGCAGCTTGGTTTAATTGTGCTTGTTCTGTGGTTATTAGTATTGCAGCAATGCATGTGTCAGAGCTAGAAGAGCATTTTACTTTTTAAATAAGACTTTGAAAATGTTATGTTGACTTGTTCTAGTTGATTGTTGTGTTCACAGGCCACTGTGATATGAAATAATGTAGCTTCAAGAAAATTTGGCCTGTGTTGTAACCTGTGGTACAGCTGTTCCAGTCCCTGAAACCTTGCCTGCTTTTTAATATTGCAAAACTATTAATAGTTATCAATATGTTATCAGGAGAGCCCTTTAAATATAAGAGTTCATGAGCTGTGATTTTTTTTTTAATCACACATATACACCTACATAAATCTCATCTTAGACTCTACTCAAGTGTCTGTAGGAATTACTCTGTCATCACTTTTGTGGAATTTTATAAGGTTCACTTTAACATGATATCTGAATGGAGGGAATTACATAGAATAAGAGTCATAATATTTGGAGGAGAAAATGGGAGAATGACTTAAAGGACGTGCCAAGTGCTTATTTTAAAATTAAATTGGGTATCCCAATAAAATTACTTAAATTTGTCATAAAAGTTTTGAAGTACCGTTTTTGTTTTATTTTGGTTTATATTCCATACAGGAACGTCGTATTGATGGCCACTAATTTGTGTGTTTTTATCTTTTTCCCTTTTTTGTTGTTTGTTTTGTTCTGTTCTGTTTTCGTTTCGTTTTGCATGCTGTCCCCTGTGTTGGAACTCTCTTTAGAGAGTAAGTTGGTTCAGTATTTGTTGGAAGCCTAACCTTACTTTGCATGAATGTGCAATTAACCCCTTTTCTCTATTTTTCTTCCCCAAAGAGTTCATGCAGTGTCAAGCCTTTTGCAATCATAAAATGCTATAAACAATTAGTAAAATGTGTGGTAAAGTTTCGAGATGTGCTTTATCTACTAATTAACTGACATGGTTTGGTTATGCATTCCTGCTTTGTATTGTGGTGGTTGGCACATCTGAAATAATTCACTTTAGAGGTAGAACACTTATAATTATTTCCATATCTGTTTATTTTTGTCCACTGTCAAATTATTATGACTTCAACTTTAGATGGTTGATTTCAGTATTTTAGTTTGCATCATAAGAACAGAAAGTGCAGTTTTTGCAGTATCCACATACATTCTTCAACTTATAGGTGCTTGAGTTCCATTTTCCATTCCAAATTCATCCTTTACCTTAGATGCTCTTTCAGCCTTCTTAAATTCTTCATGCTGAGACAAAATGATATGTTGAGAATTTTTTTTTAACGCAGCAAAATTACTTGACTTATTTTTGTCTAAACATTCTCTGTAGTAAATCTAAAACGAAACAAAGCTGAGTCCTCAATTACGTGTATTTTTAACAGCTAAAACATGAGCACAGGATCTTCAGAGTACTTTAGCCTTAGTGAATCATAATTCACTTTATAATGATTTCAGTTTAGGCCACTTTACATGTTTGAAGTGTCATAAGAAGTCTGTATTACTCCATCAAGTCAGAGCTTGTAAGCAGTTTGTTTGGCTGCCATGTTTTAATGGAAAAGCCATGTGTGTCAGTGTCTGCAAACTCAAAGAAACAGGTGCAGATTTAAATTCTGCTGTGTAGTTCAATTTGAAGGATTTTGTGAGACCCCCCCACCACCACACACACACACACAGTGTAATCTTTATAGCACCAGAATTTGTTTGCCTAAGTATATTTTTCCCTTACTTTAGGGCTGCGAAAGCCAAAGACTACATATTACAAAATAAAATTACTTATTGGTTTCGTTTTGCCGCTGTCCTTTTACTGTGGCTACTGCTTGTAGCCACAAAATTCTGTATAGTTTTAGTTTAACCTGAGACAGAAGATGTTTCCAGTCTTGCACATAAAGTCTTGTCCCACTACTGGTGGGGTAATTTTGAAACCTCTAACTTGAACATACATCTACACAGACAGCACAGAAGTTGGCAATTTTTTTTCACAATTTTTAACATACTTTGTCCCAAAAGCAAAATTAATTGAAGTAGCTATTCCTGATGGGCTTTATCTTGAGTAGGAATTTGTGTTGTTTTCTTTCTAACACAGATTTTCAGTATTTAAGATATGTACTAAAAATTTTTCCCAAGTCTCCAGTAGATTCTGAAAGAGTCATAAAATACCTGGTTAAAAGGGAACCTCAAGGATGATCTGGTCCAGCCTCTCCTGATAAAATGAATCCGAATCTATTTTTTATTTCTAGAGTAAATTTGGAGGCACTACTTTAAGAGATATTTGTGTGGAATTTTTCCGCTTTATGGTGTGAGTTTGCTTTCCCTGACTTGGTGATTGTCATGAAAAGCGATTGAATTTCCTCAGCAAAGAAGGTGTGCAGCAGCCTATGCCAGCTCCTCCTGACTTGCATCAGTGCTGTGGAAGAAAGTCCATGGCCTAGAGTGTGCAGTTTCCCTGGCCTAGAGTGTGCAGCTGTGTGAGGTGTGGTCACAATTTGGGGTTTTCCACTCTCAGAGAAGCAGCAGAATTTGGCCTAATGGCAAGGCAGGTCAGCTGCAGGAACATGTGGGTTCCAGCCCTTGCGCTGCACCAGCTCCTCTAGCCTTGCATACATGCCATAAACACTCAGCAGGCAATATCTGCCCACCCCTCTATGCACCACAGCAATGCTGCTGTACCCAGCTCTGTGCTGGAGTGTGTATTGTGAAGGAACTTTTTTCAGCTCAAACACCCATTTTTCTTGTCAGAGAAACAGGAGACCCATGGGCCACAGAAGTATAGAGTGTATACACCCTGATTTCACTCTTAGGTCTAGAAAAAGCTTAAAACAAGTCAGATATATTAAAAGAGCTCTTTAAACAAAGTTACCTATTTGTCACACCCTCCCTTCCCTCCAAAAAGAGCCCTTCTTCCTGGTGTGAGTCCAATTAAAAAATACATGGTTTTGGTTCTTTTGGTTTTGTTGTTTTGGGTTTTTTTTTTACCTACTGCAGTCTTTTCAACATTATTTGTTGAAAAGAAGACAATGGATATTATGTTTTCAAAAAAAATGAAAGTACTTCTGTGTTTTAAACACCTGCCAATCTGAAATCTATTGTGGCTTTTTTTCCCTACTGTGGTGAATAATTTTGTGTTGGGATACCTGTGATAGTAGAAGGAGCTTGTTCTGTTCTATACACATTATCTGTGAAGGAAAGGGACAGCTGTCCTCATTTTGCAGTAATTAATAATGCAGATATTTAAAATTAATGTTTTGCTAAAGAACTAGCAGCTTTTTTGGTTTTAAAAAGAAAGTGGTTTTGTAGTCTTTGAGGCATATGACAAATCAACTTAATGATAGAGCTTGAGAGGGTAAAAAATCAAGTTTTACTGGAAAAATTGAGGTTGCGCCAGCCATCACAGTAAGCATTCCTTTTCTTGACGAAACTGCATGGAATACCTAATTGTCAAACTTCTACAGAAGTCAGCTAACATTTCCAAAGTACTCTTATATCAAAATCCGATGAAAAAGCAAGGCAGATTTCTTTCTTTTCCTTCCTTTTTTTCTTTTTTTCCCGCTTGGCTGCAAAACACTGCCTTTCTCTGCCTCTGATTCCCTTACTGCTTTCTTCGTTTGTAAGTTCGGCATACGTCAGTGTCGCTTCCTCTTTTGCCCCATCCTACCCTCTTTCCATCTTCTTCTGCCTTGTAGGTGTTCAGTATGTTTTTGGAGACCCTGGTCGACTTCATCCAGGTCCATAAAGAAGATCTGCAGGACTGGCTGTTTGTACTGCTGACGCAGCTGTTGAAAAAAATGGGTGCTGATTTGCTTGGGTCTGTACAAGCAAAAGTTCAGAAGGCACTTGATGTCACAAGGTAATGAGCACTTTAAAAAGTAATAGTAACATATTTGTTACCTATTTTCAAGGGTTTTCCTGCTTTTATTTTTTTTTTTGTGTGCTGTTTGATTTCTGGAAAAATGGACAGCTCATAGCAGATCTTGAAACTTGAGTAAACCTTATTGCTTCAGCATTTTGGTTTCGTGAAATGACTCCTAATTGAAAGGGTTCGAGTCCTCAGTGCTGAACAATTAATATGATACCACTTACCTGATTCCAAAATGTGTACTTGAACCATGTATGTTTGTTGTCTCACCTTGTATTCAGTGATGTAGAAATTGTGTTTGCACTTGTTTATTTTGCTGTGAAAGTTTCACTGGAATATTCATCTCTGCATCAGCATTGACTTTTAAGGAGTTATGATAATAATGGATTTGCTTTCTGTCTTCCCTTTCTTCTCACCAGACTTCACTAATAGCCTGATTTAGAATCAGAATTCTAGCATATCATTATTATATCATTCCACATTACTAGCATTATCTGTTCTAGCTGTAATTGCTTCATAGGAGGAATTCCATAAATCTTATCCTTTACATGCTAGGTAAATGTTTCTAAAAGGTCAGATACAGTGGCAACTGATAGCAGTTTAGCTGGTAGCACCCTTACTAAGAAGGGTGAGAGCTTATGTGGTGCCTCTCAGCAGTTCTTAAAAGAAAATTTAATGTAACTTAACATTTTTTTGTTTGTTTACAGGGAATCTTTTCCAAATGACCTCCAGTTCAGTATTTTAATGAGATTTACTGTTGACCAGACCCAAACACCTAGTCTGAAGGTAAGACTTATTAGGCTTGCTTTGCAGACAGAAATTATCATTAATAGAAGTTTGCTTGTCTTAATTTTTTAATTTGGATTGTTATTTTTGTTTTATGTAAAAACAAAGAAAAAGAAAAGGTTTTCAATTAGTGGATTTTGTTTTTATAAACTTTCAGACAGTCAAGCCAGCACTGCAGGACCAGCTTCGCTCTTTTTGGAGCTCAAAGGTTTTTGTCTGAATTACTGTCTTTATTCTTAACCCTATGTGAAACTCTTACAGTGTTACCAATAATTTGTATTTGAATGCATTGTATGCTGCTACTAACCTTTGCGAGAAACTTGAAGCATGCAGATGCTCAGTTTTAAACATGACACTAGTATGAAAATGTTTGCTGCAAGAGAGATCTAATAAAAACACAGTACAGTAAAAGTGAGCAACAAAAATGTGGCTGCCTAACATCAAGCTGGTTATGCAAACTCACTCTATCAAATCTTTCCTAATTTTATGTTTGTGATTTCCCATACTTTTTTCCCTAGTTCATATATATTTTTTCCTGTGTTCAGCCTGATAGGCCTTGAGTTATTTTAAATTATTCTAATATTAATGTGAACTTGAGTTACTATATTAAAAATCAGCTACTTCTGTGGTACACTCCTCTGAAAGCAGTGTGTAGCTTTATAATTACACACATTTTTACCTAAGAATCTGTAGTCTATAGACCTTCCAGCATATCTGAAAAGTAAAAATGTATTCTGTAGTACATTTGCAGTTCCAAAGAGTGTTGATTTTAGAACAAATGCATCAAATCCTAAGAAGATTTATAAGTGATGAGAATGGGGAAATAACAAGCATATGATAACTGGCATCTTCTGCTCTATCCTGCACGAAATATTTTTACTCCGTCTGATACTGCACAAGAGTATGACTTTTCCAGAGTTATGTTGAACCTGAAGTCACATGAATATGCCTTTTTTGTCTACAATACAGTAAAACTTATATTTTTAAGCTTTTGAGGACAGTTGATACGTTGACCACTGTTGCTTCGTAGAGCTGTGTTAAAAAGGGACTGCTGTCATTTATTGAAGACAGCAAATGAGGTAGTAAAAATCAGTTTGTTGTTTAAATGAATCCTTGGAACAAATTGAGATTGGTTTTATTTTGCTTGGTTTTCCTCTCTAGGAAGGTGAATTTGATGGTTGAGATATTCCTTTTTCCATACAGTAGTGTGTAGCTGTTAAAGGTGTATCAAGCGCATTTCAAAGCTGAGAGTGTAGGTTTGGAACAAGACATGGACTCCCACTAGGCTGATTTGGGACCAAGTTCAAGATTATTCACAAAGGGGTCCAGAAGGAATTCAGAAATATGAAACCTTTGATGGGAAGACATTCTGAAAATAATTTTGAGAGGGAATTCTGAAATCAAGATGCTGGTAAAAGTTATCTCCATAGAAGAACCTATAGTTTTGTACTCTACTATGGTATAGTTTGAAGCAAAATCAAGAGTATTTAGAATGAATTTTTGGGACTGTAAATTATGTAACTGTTTAAGAGAAGGTAAGTTTTCTTTTTCCAGAAGAAAGTGGAATCTGCACCTTACTTGCTTTTTATGTGGTAACTACAACTTCAAGTTTCAGACAGTAAAGTTATTTATTGCCCAGATCAGAATTATCTATTTAATATCCACATTATTGAGTATTTTGCCTAAATCCCATCTTCAGTGCACCCAGATAGAATAATTGAAATAATCAGTTGGTGTGGTCAAAACCCACTGAATAATTGATCATCCTAGAGGACTCTTCCAATTCTTGAAGTCTTGAGCTTTTGTTCTTTGATAAATGATTATCCCATTGCTTTTCTTCTAGGAATATTGAGAAATAGCATTCGCTGTGGCAGGAAAAAGTCAGAGAAGGGATTTTCAGCATCCCCAAAGATGTTCAGATAGGAGGATGGTAGATCAGAAATTGAGCTGTGTAACAATTCCCTTTACTAATTACTTTTTTGTCTGGTTTTCACATGATAGTAATAAATAATCATCATCCTTTGGAATAAACTGTCATTGTCATTCTCTACACTTAAAAAGACAGCTAAGTCTCAGGCAGTAAAACTTGAGCGGCAGTAAAACTTGAGCTTTTAGAGGGGCCACAGAGATGGATTTGGATAGCTGGGTAGTAAGAAGGCCAGCCATAGAGAAGATAGAATTCTACTGACCTAATCCATGAAAGATGCAGCTTAGTGTACTGTGCTATATCTGTCATGCTTCTGCAATCATTTTACACTTAGGTGTGGTGAGTTACTGAGACACAGTTTAGAGGTGCCAGATGTATGTGTCTGGTTTGGTCAAATGTTCTAGGTGGGATATAATCTCTTTAGCTTATTTTTGCAGAGGCAAAACCTACAGTTTCCAAAGGATGGATATTGTCCTGAAATACACTTCCAGTCATCACTTCATTTTTCTTGTGTTTCATATCAACTCAGCCTTAGTGAGGAGTTGATTTGAGCGTTGTGACCAAAGTTCAAGTTTCTAAATCCTTCTTTATTTTAAAAGTGCTGATTTGTTGACAAAGGTATTTGCCACAGTTGATCAGAAGATTTTTTTTAACCTAAGTCAGCATTAAAATTTCTAGATTAAAAAACATCAATTAACACAGATTCACAACAATTTATCTTTAGAGTATATTTTAGTCATTTGGTTATATAAGGACACAGACAATCACTCCTAAGTATTCAGTAAGTTGGAGATTGACACCTGGGCAGTCTGAAAGTGACAGTATTGAACAGCTTCCTAGAGAGTGGTTTCAATTTAACAGCAAATACTCATTGTAAGAATTCTGGAGATGCTTTCATTGCAGTGCAAAATTTTTCTCTCAGATTAAATGGATTGTTGAAGAGTGAAATAGATTGTTGAAGATGTTAGCCTTTTTATTTCTAAATTTCAGCTCTGTATGTAGTTACTGGAGATATTGGCAAAGATACTTCTAAAGTAGATTTGCTGCTCTTATGGAGTTTTACTTCAGCGTGGAGTTTTTAATCTGTAATAATACTGACCACAGAAGGAATTTCTTACCTCAAAAACAATTAATAAAAAGTGGGGTTTTTTTCAAAATAGCTGCCAGGTTTAGCTTTGGGAATCTGTCTCACTGTGAAAAGCTCTGTTAGTAAGAACTCCCTCCATTCATTTTCTATTCAGTACTGTTCTGTCCAAGAGCCTCCATTTTTGCTGAAGTCTGTGCAAGTTCCTCAGGAAGCAGTTGTTCAAACACTAAATAATCCTGCTCTCTCACTTAAAGTACTTCAGAGTCTCTTCACTGGGAGAAATACCTCTGGGTGTTCTAAGTTTACAGTCCTTAACGGCAACCTTTAAGTCTTACATTAGATTTATTTAAAGCCTCAACAGTCAAATGTAGTGGTGTCACAGTGGTTTCCCTATGTAATCTAGAAATGTCAACTATTGCTTTGAATTTGGAAAGCCATGTGGCCTAAGGTTTTTGCTGCAGAGATGGTCATGGCTTGTTTTTTTCCTTGGAAAATAGCTAGCAAATAGTGCATTTGTAGATATTGATCTGCATAAGATGAAAGCCTTCAGCTGCTTCTTGGTCTAACTTCAGAGAAGTTGAGCTTTAACAGCTGCTTTGGAAATGAAGTATTCATTCTTAATCCTCATTGTGCGTGCCAGTGTATCTTGAGTTTTTAATCACTTGCAAGTTTCATGACCAAGAGAAATTTCTAAATAGCTTTGCACAGAACAGTTGTACTGCAATCCATGAACAACCAGAAATACACCCAGAACTCTTTTTCTCTCTGATTATGATGGACATAGGTCTCTCCCTCCTGGTAGGTATTTTTGGTTCACTATAATTACTAGTGGAAATAAAAGCAGCTGATAGATGGTCTAAATAAATGTCCAGAACATTCATTGACAGATTGGGTGACAAATTTCTGAGGTAGTAGGACCTGAGGAAGTAAATATTTAGACATGCACAGGTGTAATAGACCTTTGCAGTGGTGCACAGAAAAAGGAGAGAGGGGCTGCAGTCTGGGATGTACAAAACAGGGATTCTGCATAAGGAGTAAAACAAGTTTGTGGAGTAAGAGAATGATCAGATAAATGAGGGAGCTCAGGAGGTTTTCTCTCTTCCTGGTAAATCCATGTCTCTATTATCTGAATATATTCAAAAAAAGTGTGTGTGTGATCAGTCTTAAGTCTTTGCTAGAAATGCTATTCCATACATTTTTTAGTATTTAGTGGGAAGATTCCTGTGGTCCTGTGACTGCTCAATCTGATGTTTTATGAAAAAAGCACTGAGTGTTAACTACTTGGTAGGAGCTAGTAAGAAGTGATCATTGGTTCATCAGATGATGTTCATTTTTCATTTTAGCACTTGAAAAACTTATTTAATAATTCTGAATTAATCTTTTCTTCATTTCTTTTTTTTAAATATAAGCTTCTGCCTATGCAATGATTTATGTCTTTTAGTTGCTATCAGTGAAATGTAAGCTTTCTATGAGTATTTGAATGTGTGTGGAATAACTTTCTTCTTCAAATGTTAAATCCATTTGTAGATTGTTTTATTGCAAAAAAAATATATTATTGCTGAAAATGTGTAGTTTAATTGGAAAAAAAAAATCTTTATTTTAGGGAACGAACACTCTGTGAGCTCAGTTGTTCTTGCAGCCCACCATTGTTATTGTCCACCTGACTCTGTTTCTCTTTGCAGGTCAAAGTTGCAATCCTAAAATATATCGAAACTCTTGCGCAACAGATGGACCCAGGAGATTTTGTAAATTCAAGTGAAACTAGGTTAGCAGTGTCTCGAATCATCACCTGGACCACAGAACCTAAAAGCTCAGATGTTAGGAAGGTATGTTTATTAATGTGTCCTTAGAATTGCAAAACATTCCAGGTAATTAAGAATGTTTAAGTAAAAATTTTAAATTAACATCTTGAGACTCTCCATTACAGTTGTGTTTTTATATATGTTAGTATGTTGAGATTCTGTTTCATAATTTATCATTCTTCATTGCAAGTATTGTCTAGTACTAAAATTTCTTTAGTGGCCATTTTTGGTACAGTTTTAATAGTACTTCAGCAACCACCCTCTCTGATACTAAATAGCACATTTGTAACAAGAGTGAGAGGTAAATGTGGTAGCAAACTCAGTCTAATCTCTGTTGGATTTTCTAGAGTCCCCTTTTTTTAACAACAGGTAGGTAGATAGCTGTTGTACCTTGCACAAAGAAAGTGCTTTGATAAGGTTATAGGCTTATTGTCATAGGCTTATTCTTGTAATGCTGCACTTCCAGTGCAGACCTCCCTTTTCCACATACTGATGTAAAGTAAAAATTAAGATTTGTGAGCTGTATAGATACTGAATAACCACAAGAAATGTACTTGTGCTGTCTTTGGAAAGGGTTTCTAAACAGCACTTCAGTTTGTAGAAAACAAAAAAATCTTTTATATTTGCACTTTGATGGAATAGTTTTGTTGTTCTGATGGTTACAGGTCATGCTCTGTAGCTGCCATTTCCAGCATGTAAACACTCCTAAAATGTTGTACCTTTTATTGTTCCTGAGTGCAAGTGTTTATGACGAGAGCTAACTCTTCTCTCTCTTTTTCTGTCTATTTCTGCAGTTTGAAAAGCAGCAACGATTAATTTGTTGTGATTTGTTTTGCTATTTTCAATTAAGTTTGAGTTTTGGCAGCTTCATCATTTCTGGAAAGAGTAACTTCCTTTGTTTAGGAGGGATGTAGGAAAGAATAGTAGGAGCTGTCTTACAAATTGTAATGTGAAGAAAACAAAAATAACTTAGAAGACTTCTTGGTATCTAGAATGTTTGTAATACATACTAAAAAAACACCGGAGAGTTTTTGTATTGGAAGTAATGGTTTAGTCATTCACTTCTTGTCTAACTTCATGAGTTTGAGAAAACAGAAATAGATTACATCCAGTGGATTTTCCTTGCCTGGGTATCATGTTCTAGTAACATATAAAAGATCATAGAACAGGAGGAGAATTGAAGCAGCACTATCTTCTAAATCTGTGAAGTTTTAGTACTGAGACACGTGGCAAGCTGTCTTATCTGATGGTTCATAACCCTAATAAGCATTTTTGTGTCAATAAGTAACTGAATCATGCAGAGAATTACCAGTGAGTTTATTCATCTGGAACACCTTAATTATGTAAGTTTTCAGAATTTATTTTTCTTTCCATAACACAGCTCTTTGAGGTAACTAACTGCAAAAATCCTTTAACAGTTGAAAATAAAATTTTGCCAATAAGAAGTCAAAAGAGTTATTCTGATAGTATAAAATGTTTAATTCTCTTAACAGTCTTCTCAACCTATCATGGCGTTCTTGATTTTATTGGGTGTAATAAGCTTTATAGAACTTGGTGTAATTTCTTTAAATTAAAAGCTTTTTCCAAGTAATTTCTGTGTAATTCATGGGTTTGGTTTTTTTCCTTAGCAAAAACAGTTCTAGTGCTAAGTATTATGAAAAATCCTAGTTTATTCGTTTCACACTGGGCACTCTTAGTGTAGTTCAGTGACATGGGACTTCTTTCTGGAAAGTAAAATTCTGTTTCAAAACTTAGATTTTTTTTTTCTAACATTAGAATGCTTCTGAAAGAAGTTTGAATCTATTCTTAGAAAATTTCTAAGAAGAAAGCCAAACCAAAGTAATATTTCTAATCCTTATTTCACTCTTTTAAAGATTATCTCTACATGAGTGAATTTAAATCTCAGCAGAGACCTTATGCTGGGGAGAACAAAAACCTCTAAATACTCTAAAATGCAGGATTTCTTGGGTAAGGAAGAAAGAGAGAAAATAGGTAATTGCATTGAAAACCTCCTGCAAGTCAGTATCAGTTTTGATACTATAGACAGAGCTTCATTTTGGGCAGACTTGATGGTATCAGTTTCTGTCCTGATACAATCCTGGACTGGATATTGTGTTCTCTTAATAGCAGCTTAAATAGACACAGTATTAAGGAGTGGAGATTGGCTAACCAGACAGAAAAAAAGAAGGTGGTGATTTCCAAACCTCTGCTCAGCTGCTAAATTTGTCTTGGTTTTGCTTTGTATTAATTTTGATTAAAAGACTGACCATCAGAAATGACAAGGACAAGAGAAACATCAGACAGATTGCAGAGGACATTCCGGGTGATCATTGAAGGGAAGGCTATCCAAGGGACAAGGAAATAAATTTAAAGTTAAAGAAAACAACCAGTCACGAGTACTCAAAGATAATTTGTGGCAATCTGACATGCTAGGATTTTTGTTGTTTAACTTAATACTGAGATGTGTGCAGGTATGTGTGCTCATACCTTGGCTCTCCACTTTTAATTAAAAAATGCTACAGTTCATTGCTCTGGAAGCAAAAGGAGGGAAATAAATGTCTAAAAGAATTTTCTAAACTACTTGCTTGGAGTGTATTGGTGGTTAAGCAAGCTGCCTGTCATTCTGTCTGGCATGAGGCACTGGTTCTCTCCAGTGCATGGCAGACCTTGAGGGTGAGCTGTATAAACTCAGTTGGTTAATCTTACAACCACACACAGTTGGTTAATCTTACAACCACAGTCTTCTGCTACAAAGAAGTCATTCTGGAGAACTTCCTCCAGATCTCATTTGCACTTGTTAGTTTAGTGACTATGTTGACAGGTTTGTTATACTATCCAGTGAATCTTCATCAAACTGTACAAACATTACTTAATTCTTTCAATCAACAGTTCCTGTACTAGGGGGAATCCAACTGTTGTGTAATTTACAGTGTTGCTTTGTCAGTAGAGAGCGCTGATTTTTTTATTCAGGTTAAAAAAAACCCCAGCATGTGTAAAACATGCTGTAAGATGAATGTGATAGTAAAGATGAACTGATTAAATTGAGAGTATGGGAGGTGACATCCAGTACAAACTACTCTACAGTTTTCATTTTCAGAATTTATAGTCAGCTAAATTCCATTGCCCATTATGGTTGCCTACCTTTTAGAAAGGTTAAAGGAAGCAGAGGCAAGGTTAACTAACTAGCTTGGCTGTAGGGTAACTTATGAGGAGTATCAAGTGCTGTGATCACTACTGTCTCATTCCACAGAAGGGTATCTTGTTTGGTTGAGTTTGTTTTAATTTCTACAGTGCTAACCTGTGTGTTACCATCTGTAATTTTTTACCACTTGCAGAACTCAGTAGAAAGGATCACATGCTTTCTCCTGCCTGGAGTGTTTCATTTCTCTCTCTAAATTTATTCAACTTCCCAAACTCTGAAAGCCATTTTTCAAATTCCTTCATTATTTTTTTTTCAGTAAGGATGTGGGGCTAGGAGGCTTGAAAAGCACTTTTCTGAAAGAGTGCTTGTTACAATGGTAGTTGTGTGCCTGAATTTATCAAAATCAGAACTTCCAACTTGCCAGCAAATATGAACTGCTTTTGTTCACATCTGTTAACATCTTTATTCAAGCTTGATCAAGACTTAAGTCACATTTTGTGATTACCACTCATTATGGCATCTTTTGCTGATAGTTACTTTGAAACTCTAATTAATGTCTTGAGTTTGTGTTTTCTTCTTGTAGGCTGCACAGTCAGTGCTGATTTCCCTTTTTGAACTCAACACTCCAGAGTTTACAATGCTGTTGGGTGCTTTACCAAAAACATTTCAGGATGGAGCCACAAAGCTTCTCCATAATCATCTCCGGAATACAGGCAACAGTGGTCAGGTATCCACTTCTGCTGCTCTTCTTTCTGAAGTTACTGTGTAAAAGCCTACTTAGTAGCTCTCTATGGAATGTCTTTTCCTTTTCCTCTGCAGTTACAGTTTCTATGTTGCTTCCAAGTGACTTAATAGATTTGGATGTGCTTCTTTAGAGTAGTCATCTTGTACTTTCTAAATTCAAAGTTACACACAATTGAAGTTACTAGTAATGGGTTAGACAATCCAGGAACTTAGTTGAAGCTCTTTAAATGTTTCTGGGTACCAGAAAAAAAAAGTAATAATAAATATAATAAGTTAAAAGGGAAACTTTTAGTCCTACTAAGTATCTTTTCTCACCTCTCCTCCTCCAGGGATCAATGGGAAGTCCTTTAACAAGACCTACTCCGCGCTCCCCAGCAAGTTGGTCAAGTCCTCTCACTTCCCCAACCAATACATCACAGAACACTTTGTCACCAAGGTAATGTAGACTGGTGGTGTTGAAATTCCACATCTGAGGCTGATAACACATTGTCCAAAATGTAACCCTAGCAATGAAAGCATGGGCAAAATTTTGCACAAAATGTGATGCGCTCAGAAATAATCCCTCTTCCTCCATAGAATGAAACTGCTCAGCCTCCCAGAAGGGTCTGACATGCTGGCCTGAGGTGGGAGAGGACTGTCCATCTTGGAATGCAAATGGATTAGCAAGAGAGCAAACTTAAGTGTGCTTCTCTAACAAGTGTTAAAATATGTCATCTCACGTCATGGTTTAATCCCAGTTAACAACTAAGCATCATACAGCCACTCAGTATCCCCATGGTGGGATATGGGGGACAGTCAGAATATAAAAGAGAAAAAGTTGAGATAAAGACAATTAATTAGGTAAAGCAAAAGCTACATGTGCAAGCAACAGACAATGAATTTGCTACTTTTTATGGGAGGGTCAGGTGTCCAGCTGTCCCCAGGAGAGCAGGACCCCATCACTTGTAGCAGTGACCTGGGAACTCAAGTGCAATGACTCTGAACATCCCTCCCTTCCTCCTTCCCTCGCTGATATATGCTTAGATGGTGATGCCATACAATGTGGAACATGCCTTTGGTCAGTGGTGTCAGCTGTCCCAGCCATGTCCCCTTCCAGCTCCTTGTGTACCCCGGGCTGCCAGGGCTGTGTGAGGAGCAGAATAGGCCTTGGCTCTGTGTAAGCGCTGCTCAGCTGGTGCTGGAACAGCCCTATGGTAACAACCCCATTTCCAGCACAGATCCAAAGCATAGTCCTCCAGCCAGCTGCTGTGAGGAATGTTAAGTCTGTCCCAACCAAAAGCAGCACACTGAGTCATCAAACCAGATTTAAAACTGGGGAGACTAAAGAAGTAATAGTTTACAAGTGTTTTTTATAGTAATGATGTTGTCAGCAAAGTTGACTCTAATTTTTTTTTACCAGTAAAGTTGCTGTTGAGTTTTATCAGTGCTCCTTGCTTTAGCAATTTTTTCAGAATAAGAGGATAGTGTAAAAATTCCAGTTGTTGCACATTCAGCACAGTAAAACAGAGCAAAAGAAGTTTTTCTTCAGGCAGTTGCTGTTACCTAATGTAGCTTTTCCCTTACCTACTTTCAGTCTTTTTCTGTGTCAGTGGTAGTACACTTACAAAGGCATACCATAATACAATTTTGTATTGTGAAGAGACAGCTTTCTTAATGTATTTCAAGAAAAGTAATCATTTTAGTACTATTTCCTGAGTCTCTGTAGTTGCCTGCTAATGTGATTTAAAAGTACAGATCACAAAATAATTCCATCTTACTTCCTATGTCCTCCTCCGTGGCCCACAGTGCATTTGACTATGACACTGAAAACATGAATTCTGAAGATATTTACAGCTCTCTTCGTGGAGTCACTGAAGCCATTCAGAATTTCAGTTTTCGCAGTCAGGAAGATATGAACGAGCCTGTAAAACGAGATGCTAAAAAAGATGATGGTGACACGGTGAGTATTTAAACTCAGTCCATGTTGGTATCAGCAAACTAAGCTAGTGTCTGATTGATTGCAGATAAGAAAGCATCTGTTTCAGGAGGTTTATATTCTTAAATTGGGCATGTCTCCTGAATTACTTAAGAGCTTTAGAAAAATGTGTTCCTAGTCTTGAGCTGCATTTTGAAAATGTAAATTCTGATTTTACATAGCAATGTCTGTGTCTTTAACATGTTAACAGTTTACAAATCAGTGATCTTGCAAAACAGCTGAAATTATTTTTCTGAGATGTTTGTATCCTAATACATGTTTTTCTGAATGTTCTATTTTATTTTGTACACAACCTGTGGGATGTTAAGATGCACTATTTAAGACTCCTGTTTCTGTTAAACTTTGGCTGTAAGATTTGTTGAACTTGCCACGTATATATATGCTTAAACACATTTTTAATCACTTTGCACCAGACTTGTAAGATAAAATACAACTATTTTTGGTTTATTTTTTTGGACAACATACACCTTTTTTCTGGGGTTGTTTTTTTTTGGTTGGTTGGTTGGTTTTTGTTTTGGTTGTTTTTTTTAAGGAAAGCAGCGTTTAGGGAACTAAGACTTTGTATTTGAAGGCTAGTTTGAAAATTCTAAGCATTTTGAAATTTGTGAGTTTTTGCTATATAAATGAATTAGTGCTGTAGTTAATGGAAAGGTGTGAGAGTGTTTCACATGCTCCTGTGACACTTGCTCTGGTGCAGATTTGCAGTGCTTCGGGAATGGTGGACATGCGAGCAGGAGGTGGTGTGAGCGATACGGGCCGGACAGCGCTGGATAACAAAACATCATTACTCAACACCATGCCTCCCCACTCCTCACCACGCTCACGAGAGTACAACCCATACAATTATTCTGATGGGATCAGTGCATTCAATAAATCTGCTTTGAAGGAAGCCATGTTTGATGATGATGCAGAGCAGTTTCCTGATGGTAAGATTCAGATGACATTCTGTGATAGAAGAAAAATTATGAGATTTTCTATCTTGGAGTTCAGTTCCTGAAGTTTGTTAGGAAGATATGTATCACTTCTTTGAGAGGTTTTTACAAAAGCTGTATTTTAAATTAGTTTATTTATTAGTTACCTCTTTGAGTTACATTGTTGGATTAAGAGTAAAAATGAAGGAAATGCTGAACTATGTTGTGTACTTCTGGAAGCACCTCTTTTATCAGTATTGCCAGTATAAATTTACCTGTCAGATTGTTTTATGATTGAAATTTAAAGCAGGAGGGTGGAGAAAAGATTTACAGCAAGGAAATAAAACTGGATCAAACTGGTTTGGGAATTAGGTGAAAGATTAAGTATTTTGTTAGTAATATATTTATATTTGAAACATGGCATTGGCATTTTCTATTGACTAAACATTATTTTTAAATGAAACATAACAAACCAGCTTTTTGCCAGGAATGTGGTTATCTAGCCCATGTAAATATAGGAACATGAGTTGCTGTTTTGTAGGCTTCCAGAGCTTCTTTATGATATTTCTCCATTTATCTTTAGGTAATTTTTTCTATCTCTATTTTAAGAAGGTTCCAAATTAGCACTACTATCATTATTTAAACAAATAGTCAGTGGTTCTCATAATCTGGTATTCACTGGTTCAGCTATAGATTAAGCTTTTAAGTAAATACTTTCTTAAAAACTAGGGACAAATCATCTCCCTTCTACCTGTTTTGCTTTTGTCATTCTGCAAAAGATGTGTTACAGAAACAGTTAAAAACCAGTTCTTTTTTGACATGGTGTTTTATCCACCTATTCTATAAGTTGGCTTTAAGTTTGCATCAAATCAAAACCAAATCCAAGTATGGTGCATTTTTGTTTGGTTTTCTTATATATCATGAAGAAGCATATAGTGCACCCAGATACTATCTTCTGAAAAAGATGGAGGGAAAATCACAGTTTTACAAATCATGTCATGTACATATTAATAATTAAATAGCTTTGCCATCCACATACAGAGCCAGGTTACATTTGAGATTCTGTATTAAGGGACCTTGTTGTACATGGGAGAAGCCTTCTGCCTTCTGACAACTAATTTTTGGGTATTGCATTAAACCAGAAGCAGTCTGTGCTGTGCCAGCATGATCCAGTTTGTAACAACTCACAACTGGCTGGAATGAAGCATCCCCATCCAGTATGAGTTTGTCCCAGTTGGAAGAGTAGTGCAATGCATTATTTAGGTCTGCTTTTTAATGGGTCTTGGTGAAGTACTTGCTTTCATTCCTATGCTGTTCACCCATAGTATTTAGCTGTATTGTGTACATTCTGTCATTTGTGTGTTACTTTTAGAATTTCACTGGGATTATTTGCGAGAAGTCTGCAAGAGAAAAGATACACTTGGCAAAAAACCTTGTGCATACAACTCCTCTGTTGAGAGTTACACACTTTCCTCATAAACCTGAAGGGCTAATTTGACATTAGTTATTAGTTTTTGCAAACTCCACAGAATTGCTGCTTGTTCCTGCCACACAATTACTTTAGTACTGGGTTCCCAGCTATCCTGTCATGCATTACTGACAGAAAGATGTGGAAATACAAGGCTAGATGGGAAAACCTTAGCTGCTCATACAGTCCTGTCAACAGCACTGGGGCAGGAATGTGTATTTTACAGATGGTTTGTCTGGCAGTTGAAAATTTTCTGTGGAGGAGATGCCACAGTGTGCCTCACATGACTCACATTTGAGTGTTTTGCTTCTCTTATGTAAAAAGATCTTCAGAGTAACAACCTGAATCTTCCAACCACTTGCACTTTGATTTTTTTCCCCAAGTGAAACACTCTTTATCTGAAGCATAGGGAAACAGTCCCTGTTTGAAAAACAGTGTTCTTCTCCAAAGAAGGATATTTATTTCAGCTTACTTCCATGGCTTGCACTTTTCAAACATCTTCCTTTTTACCTCCCACTTTGTACATGGGCTTAGGGTTTCTGCTTCTGTGTCTCACCTTACACTTGGCATCTTTTTTCTTCCAGACCATTCCTTTGATTTAACATGACAATTTTCAGTTCTTACCCTGTTCTTCAGAACATTTATGATTGCTCCTTAAAGTGATGTCATCTGCAGATTTTTTAAGTTGGCTCCACATTTTTTTGATAGCTCTAACAAATGCATCCAACAGAGCCATGCTCTGCACACATCTAAGCAAGGACATCACTCATATCCTCCTGGATTAATAGAAGGCCATTTATAATCCAGTCACCCTGCAAGTGATTCATCAAGTTTTGCACTTGCTTTGTTTGCTTTTTTTTGGCCATCATGTTTGCATAGCTTTTATATTAGGATGTTGTGAGTGGCAGTAGGAAAATCTTTCCTAAATTCAGGACATACCTACATGTTCCCTTTTAACCCCTACACTGTTTGTCCTGTCAAAAGGATATTTGATTGGTTTGAGAAGAGCTGTTCTTCATCAATTATTTATCTCTCTAATGCATATTTTAATTCATTCAAATGAAGGAACTATATCTGCTCCTCTTCATTTGTGTTTTCTTTCCTTTCTGAAAAATAAATTTTGAGAGTAGATTTTGAACGTGACTTCTTTTATGCTACTCCATTCTTACCTAGAGAATGTTTGGAAATTAAATACTGGGTGCTAAGTCATACAAAGGAATGGAAAAGGCAAGCTGAAAAAGCACATCCCTCTTGGTTATCTTCATGTTTTTCAGTTATGTAGTCCATACATACTGAAGCTTTTTCCTCCCCTTACTCCTGCATGGACATGGCTCTTACCTTCCCCTCTCTTTAACCCTTCCATCCATCCATCTAAGATGACACTACAATGAAAATGCTTTATTTAAACAGATATAAGTAGTTTTGCAAATGAAGTGTCAATATGCATTCCCTGAAAATGGATTTGCTATGCTATAATTTTTACAGTTTGGTAGAACAAGTAGAAAAGTGCTGCCAGTAAAAGTAATGATCTTGCTTCCATAAAAATGACTGTCCATTCTACTCATCTGCTTTAAATAATAACTGACCTAATGCAATTTCAGTGTGCCCTTTAGTCAAACATTAATCATCCATTAATACAGAAGCAGCAGAAGTGTTTGTGGTTTGATTTCAGGTGCTGGTGCTCCTGTTTATTCATGCAAAACAGAATGCAAATAGGATTGTGGGGTTCAAAACCAGCATGATTTTTACAGTAGCTTATGTGTGATATTAAGATATTTAATTCTGTGGTACTCAGCATTTACTGTTTTCTTTGTACAAATGCTTTGTACAGCATTTTCAAGTTCAAGGGCTGTTGTTTCTCAGTGTATGATATAATTAATTTGTCATGGAGGATGTTTTTCATGTGTCAGTTAATACATGCTGTCATTTCAGGAAAGGTGCAATGCATTTGCATTCTATGCCACAACTTCCAAATTTTCACCTTAGGAAAAGGCATATTTCTGTTAATTTATCCAAATGTTTCAGTGCAAAGATGGAAGCTATATGCTTACCTTTCTTAAAGGCTGAATAAAGATTCTCAAGTTGGTATTCAAGTTTTCATTAAGGCCATATTTAAGTTTCTTGATCGTTTGCAGATCACTCTGTTTGCAGTCCAGTGTTTACAAATACAGGCTGTATTAATAATGTATTTTTCCATTATAATGGAATCCTCTCTAATAAAAGCTAAAATCCAGAGCCATCTCCAAATGAATTGGTTTTGGGATCTATGGGACTAGCCCTGCTTTGCCTTTATTTCAGCTCTTTTGTGCCAAGAACAATTTGTTATACTTTTTTTTCCCCTGCTTGTTTTAGCAACCTAGCTATTGTGGAATCTTGACTTACAAAAATCTAAACAATTCTGTAATACTAACAGAGAAAATAATTTTTTTCATCTTGAATGGAAGAGTCATATGGGAAAGCTGGCCCTTCTTGTATAGATCAGATATAAAAAGATGCAGAGTACTTAGTGGGTACTGCAAGCCTAAAAACTCCTGCAGCAGCCTAGCCTGCAAGGGAGCTTTTGCTGTGTCATTGTAGGGATTTGGGAACGATTGTTAGCTTGTTCAGCGGTGTTGGCTGCACTGAAAATGTAGTGGCCAAACTGCAATGCTTGCAGGCACATGTGGGGGAAAAAACAAAAGCATGCTCGAAAACAAGCAGGTCATTCTAGAATATATCCTTTAGTTGTACAACAGACACTGTTATTATTATCTGCAGTAACTGTGTTTGTGCATTCCTTTTTGACAGAGCCTCCCATGGACCATTCTGATCTGGTTGCAGAGCTCCTGAAAGAGTTATCAAACCACAATGAGAGAGTTGAAGAAAGAAAGGCTGCCCTGTATGAGCTCATGAAGTTAACTCAGGAAGAGTCTTTTGGTGTTTGGGATGAACACTTCAAAACAATACTTCTGCTGCTGCTTGAAACACTTGGAGATAAAGAGGTAAATTCAGAAACATCCAGTTAAGAATGTTAACAAAGTACATGGCTTTCTTTCAGTACCTTTGACATTTGTATGAATTGTAGAAAGGGCACAAATTCCAGTTAGTGGTGGAAAAATAAAAAAATGTGAAAATACAAAAATGCCATAAAGTCCAATTCCTCTGATGGTGAAAAAGGTATCAGTGATACTTACTTTCTCCAGGATTTCTATTTGTGGAATCTGACATATTAGATTGAATGAAACATTTTTGCACTGAGGTTCAAAGCTTTTCTCTTTATAGCCCCTGAAGGAATCTGGAATATCAAAACATCATGTGTGGCAAAGCATTTAAATATTTGTTTCTAAAATACAGTAATGCTCATTATGAAGGGACTGAGTTCTTTCTATATAATAGAAATGTAGAGAACTATGTAATGTAGAGAACTAGTTCTCTAGAAAGGCCATGTTTCTGAAATTGCTCAGGATCAAAAAGACACTAGTATTTGTGTTTGATTTTTAAAATAATTGTATAAAGAAAAAGTAACAAATGTATTTGCATGATGGTTTTATCAGCCCTTGTGTTTGCAACTTCTGGGTAGCATGGATACATCAAAATAAATTTAGTAATATGTTTATGAGCTGTCACCTGCATTTTCTGCAAAACAAAAAAGAGATTGAAGAGATTCTTTCCTACTTTTATTTGTTAACACTAGATTGAGCCTGTATATGTGTGCAAAACATAGATATTTTTTCCATTATTAAAGACTTTTCCAGCAGCTGAACAAATGTGAAAAGCATATGCCTGGGTAAAGATGCATAACTTATTTATTTTAATATTGAATCTTTAGCATGCAATTAGAGCTTTGGCACTGAAAGTTCTAAGAGAAATACTAAGAAACCAGCCAGCAAGGTTTAAGAATTATGCAGAGCTCACAATCATGAAGACCTTAGAAGCACATAAGGATCCTCATAAGGAGGTCAGTAATCAGTTATTTTATTTGTTTAAGGTTATATTATTATAAAATTATTACAAAATGAAAGAGCTGTCCAGAAAATGTGAAATAATAATTTCTTACTGAGGAAGTAATTTTTTTTAATAATGAGCATATTATTATATGTTTAATAACAGTGATGTTATTAGTAAACATGGGTTTTCAAGGAAAAAACCCCTGCAGTTCTAAAAGGTTCTGAATGGTTAATATCATCCCTAATAACAATTGCCTTGGGTGCCGTCCCACAGGACCATGTAACCAACAGCGTGTCACCGTGTCTCTTCAAGGAAAAACTGAAAGGTGCTTTTTCCTTGTTTGGCATCTTAAGCCAAATATAAGTGTCCTAGAGATGTAAAACAAGCTTTTGGATTGAAATGAGATTTATGGTTGAGATGAGGCTAAACAAGACAAGGAATTGTCAACCCTTTCCATTCTGCTCCATTTGAGAGCATGGCTTTGAGTGGTGTTAAGGGAAAATGCAAAGGAATATGTCAGTAGGGGAGGTGCTTGTGCCAGGAATAGTGAGGGGATTCAGGAGAAGGGCAAATGTAACCTTGCTCAGAGTTATTTGTGATGCCTGCATACACAATAAAGGACGATGCATGTAAATACAGGAAACACAGATACAATAACAAACCCAGTATTCAACTTCTGACATCAGTGTCACTGATGCTGTGGGAAGAATCCATGTTTATACTAAATGAGTCCATCTTCCTCATGCAAGAGCACTTTGTGGAATTTACTGTGGAGTTTCAAGCTTTGAAGTCAACTGCAATTCCTCCCATCCCATGACTTTATCACTCATTTGATACTCATTTCTCTTTTCCCTTTGCTCTCTGGATTTGTTTCATACACTGCATTTATTACAGTGTCGTTTCCCCATTGTTTCTTCTCTGTTCCTGTGCTTTTTTCCCCTCTCATCATTTTGTGTGTTAGGAGTGAGAGAGTAAAGTATGAAGAGAAAATCTTGAAAGTTTTTGTACATCACTGTGTACTGCTCATTCTGTACAGTGGTTCCCCATGTTAGAGGGCAGATGCCACCACTGTGAAGATCAGATGTTAATTTTCTCTGTGGTGCCCTTACTGTGTTTTGAGCTTGTGTAGCTGGTGAAGTCCTACCTTCTTATTCCTGTTCTGCATATTCTTCAGGGTTAAAGTACTCCTTTGTCATAGTTTCTTTCAAAATCATAGGGGAAGAACAACATCTCTATTGGCTTCTACAGTTAGCAATCTAGGCATGTCACTAAACACACCTTTGAAATGAATGTGAAAGCATGTTTTATCAGTGATCTCTGACCTAACAAGCAATAACAAATGACAACACAAGAAATTACAGGTTTACAAAGGTGGTGATACTTCAATATGTAGTTGGAGGGTACGCAGAAATTTTAAATCCTATTAAACAAGCAGGTTTGAAAAACTGGTATGTGTATTGCCAAGGGCATAGTAGCACAGAATATTGGGAAGAATTGTGGTTTTACAAAATAATGTCCAAAGACTGGACTCTCTACATATTTCTACAATACTGCAGAGGACTTGATAGAAAAATTTTATGTTCAAGACCATTACTGTCAGAAAACAGACCACAGAGTAAGAGTCTTATACAAATCACTTTTCTGTCTTTATCTTTCAATAGGTGGTGAGATCTGCTGAAGAAGCTGCTTCCATGCTGGCCACTTCCATTAGCCCAGATCAGTGCATCAAAGTTCTCTGTCCAATTATCCAAACTGCAGATTACCCCATTAATCTGGCTGCAATCAAAATGCAGACAAAAGTTATAGAAAGAGTATCTAAAGAAACCCTTACTCAGCTTTTACCAGAGATTGTGCCAGGTCTAATACAGGTAAGGAAAGAAGAAAAAAGCAGCAAAATGGACTAATAAAAAAAACCTGTATGCATAGGAGTTGCAAAGACTTTTAAAAAATAGTACCACTTGGTTCTTATGAAGGATTTCAGTTGTCTGATAGGTGATGGCTGCCTTGACCCAAAATATTTTCAATAGTGGGAACAATCTCTTTGATTAGCAGGGAGCTAAATTATAACCATGATTAGGACTCAGGAAATCTTAGTAGGATATAAAGTTCTGGTTATAGGTAAGCTTGCTAGATACTTCCAGTTCTAAGGTAGTTCTTTGTTGTTTGTACCTTTTTCCAAGTTAGATAAATTGTCCATGTTTTATTTGTGTATAATTGTAGGGTTTCATCAGCAGGAGCTTTTGGGAGGCAAGAAGAAAGAAGCAATTTTATAAAGTTAAATAAAATTAGAAGAATATCCAAGTTTTCTCTTCCTTTGTCTTTAAAACTGGAAATTTTACCACCTTTTTATCATGTCAAGAGTTAAAATACATCAATTTCCTTCATGGATCAAGACTCTTTAGAGTTGGCAACTGCAGTCTGCAGATTTCTGTCTTTAATGAGTGCGATCCAGTCATACATTTGCAGGAAAATAGAGTCAGAGAAGGGGCCCTCTGGGAAGGGAGTCTGAGTGAGACAGCCAGGCATGGAGTGATAGAAAAATGGCAAAAAAACCAAAAGCCATGGAAGAATGAGATGGGGGTTAACAAAAGTCTAGCTGTTAAGAGAGTTCTTCATTCAGAGCCAGGAAGCTCTAAACTGGGAGTGGTCTTTTGCTTTAAGTGAAAACCTGTATTATAATCTAGAAAGGTTCTCTTATGTGCTCACCTGTTGCATGGCAGCAGCTCTGTTTTCAGTGTAACTTATGAACAGGACTGTGTGGGTTTTAAATTCACCCTAGAAAATGATTATCAATGGTTATTAATATGCAGCCTGCTTTTTAACTGCATGCTCTGTATTTGTGTGTTTGGTTTTTTGTTGGAATGCTTCGTTGGGTTACACTGGCTTTAATTTCCCATAGACTTCAATGTATTTATTGTAGTAAATAGCTTTCTGGGGATTTTAATCATTAACTGATAAGGTATTAAGGTTAATTTTATTGCTTTCTAGGGTTATGATAACTCAGAGAGCAGCGTTCGTAAGGCATGCGTTTTCTGCCTTGTAGCCATTCATGCAGTAATTGGTGATGAACTAAAACCACATCTCAGTCAACTCACTGGCAGTAAAGTAAGTAGAAGATACGGGTCAAAGAAATCTTGGCTCATAATTGCATCGATGAGTTTGCATTTTGGTTGCCATTGCCAGAAGATGTCAAAGAAGTGTATAGAAGTTGAAAGAGACTATCAGTTGTATTAATACAGCTTTGCCGTGGTACAGCTTTTTAATGCAGTCAGTTTCTTGTATGCTGGTAGCAGTGATAATGGCTGTATTCAGCAGGCTTTTCCTATCAGTGTTTCTTTTCTTTGTTTTCATGCAAGTTCAGATTGAAAAACAAGGAACGTAGCAGTTCCATTTATTCTTCCTCCTTGTTATTTTGCTTTCACCAGTCTTTTCAGTACCTCTAATTTGAAATAATAAGAACCAGTCTCTTGTCCTTTTTGTTTCAAGATATTTATGACTTCATTGACCTCTTTTTCATGCAGTTTTTTGCATCTAAACAGCTATATGTTAGTTGTGAATCTCTTTGTCCTTGGGAGTAAAACAGGACAATTAATTCTGTGTGTCTGTGAATAAAACAGTTCAATCTTTAAAATAGTCTCTGGCAGTGATCTTATTTAAAGTGACTCTAGACAATAGTGGAAGTTTTAGCACATACCAGCATTAGCATTTCTGACTAGAGGCTTAAACCTCAGCAGTAACTTAAAAGATAAAGGAACCCAAACTATTACCATATTTAGAAAAGCATTATAATTGGAGGAAAATATTCCATCTGTCTTAATCTAGCTACCTGATATAATATTCTTTATATCCTTAGAGAAGCTTGAGCAGTTTCCTTGTGTCAAATTTTACTTGTGATTGATGTTTTCATTGTCATGTATGTTAATTTTGATTACCTGTGTACAGTACAATTTTGCTTTTAGGGAAAAGAAAAAGGATTAATGTCTTATTTTGTTGTACCATTCCTGTAGTCAGTCTGTACAGCTTGCAAATACTAAACAGCATTAATTTCTGGCTTAAATTTGCAGATGAAATTATTGAACCTTTACATCAAACGTGCACAAACAGGCTCTGGAGCAGGGGATACAGCAGCAGATATGTCTGGACAAAGCTAATGAAGCTGACAAGAGTTAACCAGGTCTCCTAAAGCAAGGGCAAGGCCCTCTTCAGTGAAAGGAAAATCTTTACATGCAACTTCTGGAACTTTTTTCTTGTTTTGTTTTTTTTTCCCCCCCCGTTCTTTTGTTATTTTTCTTTTGTTTGGGGTTTTGGTTTTTTTTTTTTTCCTTTAACCAATGGCTGTCCTCAGCCTGCATGAGACTGTTGCAATAGAATTATTCCAAATCTAAGGAAAAACAGTATTAACATCAGTTGATCAAAGCAGAATAAAAATTTTAAATAATCTTATCCATCAGTTACCCTGTTCATAATCCTCTGTGTCTTCCCATTAACTTTTGCCAGTGTTACTGTATTAAAAAAAAAGATTTTTTAATGCTAATTAAAAAGGTATGCTTTAAGCTTCAGAAGTTAAAATATAAATTCTGTTGCTTTCTTCAGCTGCAGATAACATTACTTTTTTATTGCTATTTTGTTTGAGCATCATGTCCTTTGCTAGAAACAAGAAGTGATGTGAAACAAGGCTGAACTAGTCTGAACTGCAGTGAGACTCGTTCACTGTGTTGGTGGTTCATCATCTTATTTACAGCTTGTTTGGGATATTCTGGAGATTGAGAAATATGCCTATAAAAAGAAAGCTGGATCGATCCAGTCCTGTCACAGTGATATTGTTCATTGGTTGTATGTTTGTTGCATAAATAAGAATTTGGTGTGCGCAGCAGAGGACTGGTACAACCAGTACCTCTTAATGTGGGAGCCAGCCCTGCCAGGGCAGTACTGCACTGCCGAGCTGCTGGCAGTGTGGCAGCCTGCTGGTGAGCAGCAGAGTTCATGGTCACTTGATGGACGTGAACCATCCTTGTCACCTTTCGTTCTTCAAGCAGGATGCTTCAGAATGGAGTGCTCTGCCCAAGCATGCTCAGTATGTATTTATCTTTATCACTAGAATGTTTCCTCTCAACCTAATTGCTGGAACAAGTAGTCTTGTATTGTAACTCACATGGGATCTTATGACAACAGTGCAGAAAACTATTTATTCCTTACCTTCTGAAAAGCACCGAGATTTTTCTGCATTGAATTTAAATGGGGGGAGGGGGGAATAGTCACAAACGCTATGGATCTCGCCACCTTTTAATTTAAAGAAAAATATATATTTTGGATGAGTAGGAAAAGCTGCACCAAATTATTTGCATGGTTTTCTTGAATAGCATCCTCAAGACCCATCTGGATTAAGGTGTGGAAATGTTTCAAGGGTTTGTTTTTCCATTTTTGAAAAAGAGTTAGTATATTGTGAATAATGGTTCTTTGTATTTATGAAGTTGATAATGGAAAGAGAACAAAGATAAGTAAATGTGTCCCTAAATGTTGTCTTTTCCTTTTTTTCCCCTTTTTTTATCCTTTTTTTCTTTTATATAAGCAGCAAGCTAATTAAGTGAGAAATGGGATGAAACAGTGCCCTTCCCAGGAACAGTGGAACTTTTTTTTCCTGGCATTATTTTTCCCTTTGACTGTGATTTTGTCTAGTTGATGGAAGTGTATCCTGATAAGAGAGAAAATAGTGGTGCCAAGGATGATGATCTATGCTAGGCTAAAATTCTCTCTACCTCTTCAGGGTGACTAATTTTGACTGAGCTGCTGCATATAGCACCCAGTAGAAGAACTATCTAGAGAAAAATCTTTATTTTTTTTCCCAAATTATCACTTAATGTGTATTCAGAACTCTATTCTTCAACATTGCAGCCAAATATCATAAGAAACTACTTACATACTTTACCTGCTAGGAACCCTGAAAAACAAAACTGAATAAAAAAATAAGTCAGATGCTTGTAGTTAACATGAAAGGTTGTTTCTACTTTAGTTTGAAGTGAATGCAATAGAAAGAGCTAAGATGTGGTTATTAAAGAAACAATGCCATTACAGAGATTTATTTGGAGGAAAAGTTGTAGAAATATATGTAAAGACTTAAATCCAAGACTGTCATAACTCGTTGCTAGCCCTTTTTAGCAGCTACATGAAGAAAATAGTATCTCCTCCGTCTTTCCTTTGTTACGTGTAACATCCTTGTTGTTTTCTACTGTTTAATTACATTGTGTATTTATAGTTCTATGCTTACCATTGTGCATATACTGGCAATAAAATGTACATAACATTACTTAAAAGATTAGCAATGTATACATTCTGGTTTTTCTGTTTTATTTGATCACATGCTATAAGAAAAATTATAAATGTGATTCATACAGCATTGGTTAAAAAGATTTATCTTCATGTTTTGTGCATCCAAATGATGTTTCTTTATATAGTTTTGTTACTAAATCTGACTTGGCATTTGAGAACATGCTGTGAATATAGGTATATTAGACAAATTTTTAAAAAATTGAATAGAATCTTTATGAACACAGTTTCCTTGATCTAGGCAGATTTTTTTTGCTTATTATTTCATTTATTTGTATATGATACATCATTTACATTTTATTTTTTTAATATTTAAAAATATTTTTCAGTCTGCAGTCTTGTAGGTTTTACATTTTAATGATACAAAAAGTCACATGAAAAAATTGCACGAATTCTAAGCTTAATAGCCCTGTATGTTATTCCTGCATTTTGTATAGGTAATATTTCTTTTCAGAGAACCATTGCAAGATGACTGTTACTTGTCATCTTTTTGAAGATGCTATTTCATACTGAAAATATAAGTTATTGAAACATACAGTATATATTCTGGATGAAACCTAGTTTTTTTATGTGTAAACAAAAGATATGCTTTTTATCCCCTATATGACAGAAGAATTTTGCTCCAGGTAGGGGGGAGGAAAATACTTACCCGAAGTTTGTCCATCAGTTTTGCTTTGAAGCAGTCTTTAAATGTTTTAAGTGAAGATATCCCATGTATTAAAAATCTCAATGCTATATATTTAAATGAATATTTTACTTATGATATGACTAGTTTTGTTTCCAGCAGAGATGGGGTTGCTATCTTTGTAAAAAAAAAAAAAAAAAAAAGATAGAATCTATTTATGTTATGTGAACCCATCAGAATGTAAGAATTTGGGAAGAAAATTATTTCCACAGCAGCCAGTTGATCAGATTCACTGCATTGCTTTTTACCTTCATTTCCTATATTACAAGTAGATATTAGCTCAGTTAAATTCAAGCAATGATTAGTCATGCCTTATGTTCCTGCTGGAGGTGGTTTCTCTAATGGATTAGCATAAAGATCTGGGAAAAAATAGGACAGTTATATGTTGCTGTTCTTTCAGACAGGGTTTCTATATGTTCCTTCTAATATCCTGTGAAGATAGGTCATTGCAGTCCTTTGAGTATTGAAATGTAATTCTTAAAGGTTGGGTTTGGGCTTTAAAAAAGAGGAAGGAGAAGAAAAGCTACATGCAGAATCAGGATGGGAAATGAATATTGTGGATGTCTCAGACTTGGATGTCATTTGCTTTAAAGAATTTTGAGTAACACATTATGTTCAGATGAAGTCTTAGCAAGGAAGTTGGGATAATAAATGTAAATTGAAAGGAGAGCTGATCATGTAAATTTTCCTGAGTTGGCTTGCTTGTTTGTTTTTGAAGATAAAGGTTGGAACAGATTGAGTTGTGTTTATTATTTGCGGTCTGAGTCACAGAGCAAAAAGAACAAACATCTGGATCCTGTAACGCTTACATTTTCTTAATGGTTTCTGTCCGTGTTTAAACATTTAAGTCACAAACATACCCATGGAAAAGTTCTATTGAGAATGCAGGCCTAAACTGCTCACAAGTTTGAATTTTCAGCAAAGGAATTCAAATGCTGAAGTGGTATTGTCCCTTTGGAAACAATCATAAAAGAGAAAATAATTTTGGGAAATAAATCTGTTGAATTACACTACAGTTACTCCCTATGGGAGGCGAGTGAGAATGGTTCCACAGGCTGTGCTAACTTGCACTGCGTTAGGCTGGGACTTCACAAACACAGAGAAACAATAAACTTCAATGTGGTGGGGATGCATAAGCAGTTTGGAACTGCAGGATTATCTGGAGAACATTATCTGTTGTTGTTCTCCCAATTAAAACAGTAAACTAATGAGTTTTGCAGTTGCAGTCTACTTCCAGGTAAGAAAAAAGTCAGTACTTATATTGAGCTCACTTAAGAAAGCATCTTTATAAATTCTCCCTGACATGAGTTTTCCAACTCATTAAATGTACGTACTTTAAAGATTTGCTTCATAATTTATATGTTTTCTTTTTTGTTAAAACGCAAAAGGTTTTCAGAAATGTGGGAAGTTTGAAGAAGTAATTGTGCTGGTCTGGCAAAAAATCAAACTTCACTTTCTCTTCTCCTATATTTTGTTTATGTTTCTGTGTTTTGGTGTACTTTAAGAGCTCAGAGTTTCCAAGCTGTGCAGCTTGGATTACCCCAGTTAAAGAAGTTTCTTTCTTCATTTGCTGATGGGATTTTAGAATAGTAAGGTATTTACTAAGAAATTTGCAAACAGTTTTTGAATGCTGTGTGATTTCTGTTGAATGTAAAAATTCTGTCACTTTTGATGTATTTTAGATAGATATAAGTAATCCTAGTGGAAATACTTGAGGGGGTAAGATTGCAAAAATTTATGGATGGTGAAACATGGAGAATACTTCTTTGGTGGAAAAAGGAACATACCTGCATGTAGATGTTTGATACCCACTTTTATTGATATCAGATAGGAGGTGAAAAGGTAACTGAACTTGATCTTGGGCATCACAGTTTTACAAGTTTTCTTTTTCAGTATCCTTTCTTATCTAGATCATGATATTATCCACCAATGCTGATCTTTGGACCTGTGTAAACTCATATTACGGTCAGTACTGGAGATGGTTCTGATAACCTCATGTCAGGATAAATTCAGAAGCAGTGCCTGTCTGTCCAAGGAACGAACACCTGTAGCGGTTAAAAACAAATATATAGATTTAAGTTGTGCAGTAGACAGATATTCTCAAAAGTCAGCTGGACTGGTTTAGGTATTCCCTCACCATCTATTCATCTCTGCCTGTGGCAGAGCCAAGAGAATACCTTTGGGGGAGCTTCCCCAATCTGATTTGTCTGGAATAATCTCAGACTGGTCCTCCAGCAACACCAAGGGCTCACAAACCTGTGCCAGACAATGAAGGAATGTCTGTCCTGGGCTGAGAGGGTCTGCCTGTGGAGGAGGAAATACAAAAACACTCACCTCTTTCTTAGCACAGTGTGTTTAACCTGAGCACATACAGCTCGTGTCAAAATACCAGGGAAGATGAAGAAACTGTTGATTTCAGCTTGGATAAACAGCTCAAGTGCAAGCCTGTAGGGAAATGGATGTGTGTTCCATTTGAAATTGCAGATCAGCCTGTTTTAAAACCCTTAATTAATTTATATGCTAGTCTGAAATAACACATGTGAAACGTACCTAACGGTGTGCAAACACAAAAAGCCTCTAAGCTGGAAAAAAGTGATATCTGGCCTGTTACTTTGTGTCCTTTCAGCACAAATTAAAGTGATGCAGATACATTTTTACACTCTAATAAATGTCTTTTACAGATGGTTGTATTTTTCCTAAAGAATTTCTGGGCTGTTTGATCCCGTTTTTGATCTTAGAGATGACAGCTATTGCCATGCTGGCCAACTAATCAATTGAAACACCTTTGCAAGACAAAATTACCTGCTTTCCCTAAGGAATTTTCATGCATCACCATTTATTATAGTCTGTACCTGCCCTAGAGAAAAAATCTAAATTGGATATTACCTGATTGTTCAGAAAGTGCCAGCTTAAACTTTTTAAAACCTTACTTGAAGAGCTAATACTGTTGGAGGCTGCCTTTTCTCAGAAATCTATTAATTGGCCACTGTTTGCACCATGTAGGAAGAGGTTTTTGCATAGGAGGTGGAAAAGGCAGGGTTGTTAGAAAATAAAAGGAGAGAGACATGGTGTCTATACTTTATTTAACCCCTTGTATATTGCAGCTAATGTTCTGAAAAACCTTAGTGCCCCTTTGTGATTTGTAAAGTTTTTAGGAAGAGAATTTTCTTGGAATATGCAATATCTTGATTTCTGCTTTGGGAATTGAGAGGAAAATACTGATGTTGGAGGACTTTATTTACAAACTCAAGCCAGCCCAATGCTAGAAAATGTTAGACCTGGCAGGATACCAAAGCTATCTCAGAGCCTCAAGTAAAAGGGAGTCAGTCCATTAGGAGTGAGGAATAACCAAGCTCTGTTTTCTGCGTCAGGCAGCCTACATTGCCACAGCAGTCTGGAAGTGCAAATACTGATTTTTAGGCTACCAGGCCCAGAATAGCAGAATAACAGCAACTTGAACTTGTCCACCTTTACAGACTTCTGAGTCATATTAAAATAAAATGGACTCCACCCTTTGCCACCATCATAAAAACCTGCTATCTTAAGTTTAGATTCCGGTATGATGTTAAATTAAAATACTCTGGTTAGTGATGCTGTCAAAATCTCAGTGCCTGCAAATGATCTCCATGTTACAGGTTTCTTTGTAGGCCATGGTCTTCCTAAAGGGCAGCAGATAAAACAGAAGAAAGCAAAGGTAATACTTGCCATGCTTCATCTTGTAAGGTGTGATGTCAGTAAGGCATTTATTCCTCAGCACCTTACTGCATCCTGAGATTGAGAAGTAGGTCATGTGAGGAATATGGAGGAGTAAGCTACAGACCAGGAATTCCTTGCAATGCAGACTTTCTTAAAAGGGGACAAGACCCCATGAGTAAAGGAGCATATGCTGTTGCATTCTTCAGAAGCAGCCAAATTATGGTTTTCGTAACAGTTGAGCATTGGAAGCAATCCATATTTCTCCTTTACATATGAATTGACTTCTCCAAGTGAGCACTCGTATCAAGGAGACACTGAAGCCAGTCCACAGGGTCTGCCACATATCTGATATATTTGATCAAAATGCTCAGAAGGAGCTGTTGAAGCATTTGGCATGCTCAGCAGGGTTATGCATCGAGCACAGTTCTGTCAGATATCCTGTGGTGTGTTGTCTCTATGCTGGCACTGTCCTGAGACTACTACTGGAACTTGTAGTAAAAACTAAAAATGTTCATTGTGGACTTTTCCATTTCCCCTTTATTTTTGTTGGCAGGCCTGCTTCTCAAGTGTTCTGTATCACAGAAGAAGGGCTGGTAGATGCAGCAGTCCTTCAGCATTCAACAGGCCCGAATTACAACACCTAGAATATCCAAGAATCCAGATTAAAGTTGGCAGGTGGACATGGAGAGCATGTGGGGCCATTGCTGCTCATCCTTTGCTGCACTCCATGGACACAGTGCATTGCTGTTCTCAGGCTGTCAGCAGTGACCCTGTCCTTCTGCCACCTTCAGATGACCAGACACAGCAAAGGACAGGGCTGGGCCAGCCCTTAGTGTGTCAGGAGGTGTGTGGAGAATGGCAGGTCAGTGCAGGGATGGATCACATGCACAAGTTATTGCTGCTTGTGGCTGTTACCCAGCTTTGTTTAAGTTCACTGCAGTAGGAGGAAGTACACTCTCTAACAAGGTGTATAGGAGAGACAGAGAAGTTGTGCTTTCAAAACCAGAGGGGCTAGAAATGTGTGTCAGCACCTTCCACAGAGATGTGTGATGGATTCGTAGCCCATCCAAGCCAGGAGTATCATCTAGACATGGATAACTATCTCACTGTTATCCAAGGTCACCCTGCCTTAGGCAGCCACTGCTGTATAACCAAAAGAGTCCAGAGACCAAATAGGATGCATCAAAATAACAATACTTTCCTCAACTCTGTTTTGGGAATGAAGTACATAGGGATTGCTTCTGCAGCAATCTAAAACTTTCTTCTGACTTTAAACTGAAAGCTAGTATTTTAAGCACAACAAGAATCACTGGACAGTAAAAGCTTCCATTAAACAAAATTTTCAGAATAGATACTGAATTCACAGTGTCTTATATTGTGCCTGTTTAAGTCTTTTATGTGTTTTCTGTAGAACAGTTTTTACCCGGTGAAAACAAAAAGCAAAGATGACATTTGGTCACATGTAACCAGTTATAATGCCAGTATTTAAGGTCATTTGTTGTAGTTCTCAGAAGATCAATCAGAAAAATTATATGAAGAGTCTGATCACTATAAAAAAGATCAGCAAGTTGAGTGATGCCTTAGGAGACTTCATAATTTTGAATGCAACTCATGGGAAAAAAATCCAATAAAGTTATCAGGTAGTATTTGCTAAAGTACTTAACTTTATATCCACCCATTAGCAAAACATGAGCCTCCCCACCTTAAATTTCAGGTTGGACTTTGTATGCCATACACAAGCCTTAGGGCAAGACATGTTTTAAATAAATAATGTCTTGTTGTTTGTATATACAAATGCTCCTTTGCTGAGATCTGTGTACTTACTGGGCAGATTATAAAGCAAGAAAAAAAAATAGCCCCTTAACAATAAACAGTACAAGGTAAAAAATTCACCTTATTTGTCCCCAAACTTGAAGGACCGTGCAACCACATACTTTTATGTCTAGAGGTTGGTCAAGGGCAGCAGGTGTGGGTGTGGGGAATATACAGTGTTTCACAAGGCAAAATACCACATTTAGATGTATCTTGGGAAGTTTATC